TTGGCATCTTCACGCAACAAAGATTGAATCTCAGCATGCTTCCAGTAATGTAAATATAATTGTCTTGGTAGGTAGATACTAAAATTCGCATTATAGAAGATGATTTTAAATAACGACCTTAAGAAAACCGTACATTAAATCCTATTATGCAAGTTTTTTCCACTGTATGGTTTTATAAACGAACGTTTTAGTGCGTCAATATATAATTGCAACACGCTTTACTTCAAAACATCATTTGCAATCCCTTTTACCTTTTACGGTTTCATTCTAAAACTCTTCCTCTTCCTATTTCTTTTATAGGGAGGTAATACATTTCTTCCTGGCATGGCTAGCCCGTATTGAATGAATTGCAATTAGGTACTTATAATGTAGTTAAGACGAAGTGATTGCGTGTTAGCATTGCGTTTGAAATCGATTCAAACAGTGTTTTAGAATAATTCATTCTGTTTTTTTACCAACCACTTGCTCCACTTTTGTAGAATTATAAGACCTCTAATAAAGCAACAGGAGTTTCTCTTCTTTGTTAATTTAGGTATTATTTAACTATCGAGCATAATACTTACTGGAAGTGGATTGACGAGGTTGATGGATCATTGTTGGAAGATCTAGAAGAGTTAGAATATCCAAAAGTTATTAAAAGATCAATCTCCACTGAAAACCTTCCCAAGAACAAACTTATTCCACATGTTTGGAAAATTTTAATTTTATTTTACGCACGCACATATCTACACCGGCAATTACTACATACACAAATTAGTGCAACTTCCATGCTGCTATAACAGAAGGGAGCACATTTTTCAAACATGCAAAATGTTACAACGCGAATTTATAGGTTAGATTACAAGTGTATACGAAAACGACGACATGCGTCTACAGACTGGCGCTTACCGTCGCTGGCGTCGCACTATTGATTTGAAGGGCCCATTCAAGAACTCCCAAATTATCAAATCGTGCAGCTCGAACTTTTTTCCACCACCTGCCTTAGATTGTTTCATGGCGAAAAGCTCAATCATGTTCTAACAACCCTTATCAATCATCTAAGTTATTAATTCAACAACCGTGAGCCATCCCTTTAATTGGCACGCTAGCTACTCTTCCGGGGGAGCTTTTTCGTCCTGTTGACAAATACATAATTTGGTTACCATTAAAAGCAAACGCAGGTAATTGTTTAATGCACGGTATTAGAGAAACTTTGCCGCTCGTAAAGTGACAGAAGTGATTATCATAATACAAGTGTAGGGTTTTCCGAAGGCGCTATAATTGCGTGCACATAAAATAGGGTTCACCACAACAAATTACATTGTAGAAATGTAGGTCATGAGAACAATTTTGAGAAGGCACGAACCAAAATGTAAAAATTACATGAACGACAGCTTCTTTTCTATAATTTATCCGGTCGTATAATAGACACGATAGGTTTCGGAAATTTTATTGGGCAATTTGTGCTCCTATAACCCATCCAATTTTTTTTGGTACGTTATACCTGTCAGCTCAGTAACAATAAGCAAACGCAAAAACCGACATTACGTATAGAACCGATTTTTTTTGTGCATCCTTCGACCATATTTGAAGAGTGGATGTGTTAGGTCAACAACCTGAACAACAAAAATTTTGTCCCTATAATTACTAGCTACATAATTTTGTAGTAATCTTTGATTCTTTTGATTCACTCTTTCATTTAGTGTTTATAAGTAATAAAAATTTGAAAAAAAATCGATAAAGTTATGTTGCTCTTGTAGTCTAATTCTAATACATGAAAGTGTTTTTTTTGTTAATTATGGCTTTCAAATTGTTTGTCGTTTATACATACAATGGTATTACTTAGCATCACTACCTATATTTCTATATACAGGGTGTCCCTAAAAGGAACAATCGCATGTATGGTGCATGCCATTCATCATGCCTAAATTTTTTTTTTCGTAAACCATCACAGATAGCGACATTCAGCAAGAGACAAAAAATGCTTGCAAGTAAACTGTCTATCAGTGTCTAAAAATTCAGAACCGTCAAAATAGTAGTTAAAAAGTTTTAGACCTCTTCAGATGTGGATGGTCAGTATTTTACCACCTACATAGCAACTACAATCAAAACGATGATATCACAAAGACCCTTCTTACATTAGACATTCACATCCCGAATTTCATTTTAATCGGCAAAACCATTTTCCGATAAAATAAAAATAACGATTTTTTTTTAAATCTTTGGCGGTAGATAGCTCCTTACTGAAGCACTTTTGGATAGAGGTAAGTTGGGTTAAATCGTCCTATTTTGATACCAAGAACCCCTGGTAGTGCGTTGTACAGACCTTTTAGGGACACCCTGTATGGACAACGGGCGACAAACACAGACGGGCGAACAGAAAGCCCAAAATCATGAACTCGCTTTTAGGAGCTCTTATGTGGTTGTAAATGTATTAAATAGAATTAAGACTCCTAGTCAGTACAAGATATTTAGCGCATTTTTGCAAATTTATTTGTAAAAATTATCAAAGTCCTCGTGTGAGATCGAAGGGACTTCAGCGCATTTTTGTGTGGCAGATCAGTGTTTTAATAACCAGTGTTGACTCCACCATAAGTAAGATCGTGTCACGGGCTACCACATTCGCTTTGTTGGTACCCACTTCCGACGCCTCGTTCACCCCAACTTCGCGTTTGAAGTTTTCACTCCACCATCAGTTAGATCTTGTCGGAGGCTACCACATTTCTTTTTTCGGTGCATACCTACATTACACCCACAGTTTGGTGGATTTCGCTAAAAACCTTCCACAAGATAGTACCATTGAATAATAAATCTGAATTTATTATTCAATGATAGTACTTAATTTTTGGGGCACTTCTCATTGCTCGAGCTTCTACACGAGAAAGAGAGACAGAGATTCGAGATTTACGAAACGTTAAACCGCGTGACAAAATTCGCAACGGAAGGTAAAAGGCGCCCGAAGTTGACTACCTCTCGAAGACGCGCGTGCGCCTTGCAAAAGGTCGTTAATTTCGCCCCTAGGACAAAAAACAAAATTCCGCCACGCAGGAGTGCGCGTTTACTACATCTTTCCGACAACACCAATTTGAAAACAATCGGACCAAAACTGTCGTAGAAGATAGGAAAAAACTGAAACACCTCCACGTTAGTAAACTACGCTTCTAACAAGAGTTCTTCTACGCGCCTACATTTGCTGCCAGCCAGCCCTCAGCCAGCCGGCCAGCCAGCCAGCCAAAGTGAAATTAAAAGCTACTTTTTACAAATAAATTTGCAATACTTCGCTAAAAAGTAGCTTTTAATCTCACTTTGGCTGGCTGGCTGGCTTAGGGACAGGGCTACATGATGTGGGCGGGTTGGCGACATCTGGACGTCATCCGCTCGACCGTAGTTTACTAACGTGAAGATTTTTCAGTTTTTTCCTATCTTCTACGACAGTTTTGGTCCGATTCTTTTCCAATTGGTGTTGTCGGAAAGATGTTGTAAACGCGCACAACTCCTGCGTGGCGGAATTTTGTTTTTGTCCTAGGGGCGAAGTTAACGACCTTTGTAAGGCGCGTGCGCGCGCGTCTTCGAGAGGTAGTCAATTTCGGGCGCCTTTTACCTTCCGTTGAGAATTTTATCACGCGGTTTAACGTTTCGTAAATCTCGAATCGCTGTCTCTTTCTCGTGTCGCCAATAAAAGTGAATTGAGAGTGAACGGGACGTCGGAAGTGGGTACCGTCAAAGGGAATGTGGTAGCCCGCGACACGATCTTACTGATGGTGTAGTCAAATCTTCAACCGCGAATGGCGGGTGAACGGGACGTCGGAAGTGGATACCGACAAAGGGAATATCTGCAATCGATAGAACAGAATAAGTATGTAGGAAACCATGCGAACAGTGTTGGATTGTGGTTGGTGTATCCATTACACCAACGACCCTCTACCTCTACATTCTACAGTACCGATTGCAGAGGCTATGTACACATACCTAATTCATATATAATACACGGATGACGTGCGTGCAAACCTACTATATAAGTGTGGTAAATTTACGGGAAAATCAGTGGTTATATTTTTTAAAATTTTCACTGGAGAGAACTGCCCAGACCACCCTTTTACGGGGAGATACTTAGTACCCCCTACGCCCCCAGCATGCGATACCTATAACCTTCAATATATTAACATTTGCCCTCCCCAAAATGTCATCCTGGATCCGCCACTGATAGACGGATGGACAGAACTCAGAAGGTCACTTCACGAGTATTGGCCAAATTTTAATCACCATGATCTATGTCGTTTGTTAATAGTGCATATAAATAAATAAATTTCAAACCACTGAGCGGTATATTAGGTATGGAACACTTAAAACATTAACCATATCCACGGCCACGCCATCGCGGGAAAATCTATTTACCTAGATAGACCTTATACGATACATTTTACACACAAATATGACCCATGGTTACACACCGGTAGGACCAACTGACTCACGGACGTACAATTCCACAAATATATCAAAAATCCCGAGCTAAATGTAGGTACCTATAGGAGGGCAGGATATTGCATAAAACTAATTTCCCATGTTAAATTCCTATGTTCCTACTTACCGGCGTGCACCACCCGGTATATTGAATCGAAAATGTTTACTGGCTCTTTAAAAACTAGGACATTTTGTAAATTTGTAATTATTGACCTCTGACATAACTTACAGCTAATATATATCTTAAAAACGATAGGGTCTGAAGAGAATAAGGGAAATGGGACACATGGTATAAAAAGGGAGTCGCGTACTTACGCGTGGTGCGGCGAATCGCCTTTTTCGCTCATATTGACTTAAATAGACAAACACTCATTTTAGCGAAGAGCGGCGTATTGAAATCAATGAGAGCTTTCCCGCGCTCGACGGCCGTAGCGTTTTTGGTGGGATGTGAATATCTCGAGAATAGTACCGGGAGAAAATGCCCACAAATAGAAAATCAAATGTGGATAAGACATCTGTTGGTGTACACTTATACAGTGATGTGGAAAATAAACTCAAAATGACAATAATTATTGCTTTATTTTCTTAAAGACAGACAGTATAAAAAATAAACAGTTTATTCCATATTTCAAAGACTTGTAGGTGACAATCCATCAACAAATCCAATAATTTCTGGTAGCTCATTTTGGAGAACTAGTTCAGTGACCTGGAAATGAAAATCAGGGGCAACACTATGACAACCAGTAGTTGATGTCTTATTTAAACTGGATGCTGTCCCTTTTGCTTCATCCTCCACTATTAAATGCTGAACCCTATTTGTTTTAGTTGCAATGTTGTGAACATTTCTCTCATGTCTCCTCAGATGGGAAATTCGCTTGTACGAGTTCGAACATAATTCACAATTGTATGGTTTTACACTTGAATGTACAGATTGGTGACGTGTTAGCTCCGGCTTCCTTTTGAAACATTTTTCGCACATCGGGCACTTGAATTGCTTAACCTAAAAGTAAATCTATGAAGGCTTTGTCTAATCCATTTATTAAAAGAGTGCAATGAATTACTTTAATCCCTACAAATTAATGGAAAAAATCAAAATTCTACAACAAAAATTGAGAGTATTTGTTTGTGGAGATTTCAATTTCACCTTAAATAAAGACAACGAAGATGGGGGCCACCTCGGAGGCCACTGCGTAACATTCCACACTAACAAAAACCAAAAATGTTTGGAATATAGTTTATACAAAGTTACCTTTACTTTAAGACTGTTATAAAAGCAGGGAGCTTGCATTCAAAAAAAAATTTGAGTTTGCAATTCAATTTTTAATGTTAGTTTTGGAACCCTCTGCATTTATTTTAATCATAATATCAACGCATAGTACACTATCTCTTATAAAAGGAAACCAGCCTCAATTAAATAATAACAGCTCTGATAGAAAAAATTTGCAACCATGATTTGGGATGAATTACTCTTACCATAGCATATGGTAAAATTTTCAAAATAATCTGAGGTCTCCTTTTCGAAAATAGATAGCCGGCATTCGTCATGGAACACCCTGTACATGTTTAATATTCTTGGGAATGAAGAAATATTATTCGTCAGTGACTAGTTTTGATGTTTATCCAAAATTTTGAGAAATTTACCAAAAAAATGTGAGAGAATGAGTGGATTTGGGCACACAACAAAAATCGATATTAACCTGTTTATGTACATATTTAATGTGGTCGGTCAACACAGCCCCATTAGAAAAAAATTTTCCACAATGATCACAGACAAATTGCTTCTCCTTAGTCAAGTGCAGGCGCAAATGTCTGGCGATATTCGACCTAAACCTTGATGCATAATCACAATGTTCACACGAATATAGGCCACGTGCTGTGCAATGCAGCCTCAGTAAATGCTGGTCTAGTAAAAACTTCTTTGTGTATTGTTGCCCACAATATTCACAAGTGTATGCCTCAGCTTCAGCTAAAACCTGAGCCTCACTCGAGTGCTCTACAACAAAGAAGTGAACAATCAGTTTGACTATAAGTAGTCCAACCTATGTGTACATTCAGATGACTCTCTAGTAGTTTAATCCGATAAAATTGTAAGGGACAATAAGGACAACTATGCGGTGTTAACCCTTGAACAATGTGTCCTTTTACTCTATGCTGATATACTCGAAGTTTGGATGCAAAGCTTTCTTTACAGGTTAGACATTTGTATCGCTCGTGTTTCTAAAACACACAGTACACAATACACACACATTTCTAAATATATACTAACAATTAAGTGAGCAAAATACACATTTCTTCTCGCAAACCTCTCCTTACAAATGGAGCATTGCCAAGGTTTTTGCTTTGCATGTTCCTGTTCATGACCATTATGTTCGGCTTTACATGTACTAATTTTACCACATTCCAAACAGACAACTTCTGCCTTTAGATGACTCCGTAGGTGACTGTATAAGGAACGACGTTTAATAAAAGACTTTTGGCAATAGTCACAATTAAAATGAGCTCTTTTTAATTGCACATTGTGCCTAATGAGCAAATGATCTATCAGTTCATTTCTCTTCGTTAATGTGGTATTGCAATGGGGGCAATTGTTTCTCTTATGGCCACTCTGATGCAGAATTAAGTGTCGTTTCACTGCATATTCCTACAAATCACCAAACTACAAGGTTTAAATTCTAAAACAACTCACCTTCGGACACTCCGGACATTTAAACTTTTTAAGGGAGATTCTTTTCTTTCGCCAGCACAAATTAAGTATATGCCAGTTGTAGGATGGTTCACTGTTGAAGGTTTTACGACATCGTAAACAGCTCAGAGGTACACCTATATGAAAATGCTCCAGATGCTTCAGTATTGCACTTTTTGTATCCTTAATCTGATTGCAAACAGGACACTCTAACTTCAATTTTACTTTACACCGCTTAACCGAATGAGCGTGATCTGTACGTGCTATAAGTTTCGTTTTACGTCTTGACTTATTGAGATTTCGACTGAATTGTTGTTCTTGAAGGTGTTGGTAGACATAAGTTAAAGCTTTCGTTTTATCAGATTTGCTGAAAGTGTTAATTTGAAGCAAAACGTTATCGAGCTAAAATAGGGAATCCGGGTCAGTTGAAAAGTAAGGTTAGGATACATACAGTCCTTTTAAATTTTGAGAATCTATCAGTTTTATTGGGTAATTTTCTATGACGCATCCTTATCATCTAAATATTGTCAGATAAGGATTTAAAATCACTAAAATAATTAATTGCGAAATGCAAATGATAAGGCTAAAGGTGCTAAAGGTTTGTTCACACTAATAATGGATACTCAATTGCCATTTGCCACGTTGCCAAACGAATATAAATACAGATTCATTACAATCACTATTATAATGAGAATGACCAAAGCACATACATGGTAAAAGGGAAATCATCCGACACCACAAGTTTTTAGGTTCTTACGTCACGATAATTTTTTTAGTACCTAGGCCTTCGAAGTGGTAAAATTTTTCTTCTGTTTCTAGAACTTATCCAAAATGTATAGGACGATTTAAAATCATTCGTAAATTTGTGGATTACCATACGTACAAACATTATCACCCAGAGTTCCAGATACTCTAGCTGCATTGTCCCCGCACAGCGTGCATCCCTTCTCACTTGTACACAACTCCCTAACTTGATCCATCTCAAGGAATCTGCTTGACGAAGATGAGCAGGACAGTGGTGGACCATTTCCTTCCTTCCTTCATTATATCGTTAGCTAACTGCATATTATGGTGGACTTTATCATGGAAGGTACTCAATTTCTGACGCAGGTTTTCCACGTCTTCACAGTTTTTTCTTGGCGTGGGTCTGGTACCAAATTTGAAAACACCTTCCAGATCAAAATAACACGGAACCTGTGCACCGCCCAATAGTTTCTGGTGCATGAATTTGAAAAATTGAGTCTAAAAAGATTCAGAAAATAATTTGAAGATTTAGAAGAATCGGAAAAATGCTAAAAATTGAAAAAATCGAATTCAGAAAGATCTGAAGCAAGTATAATGCAAAGAATTAAAAGGAATAGAAGAAATTCTAGAATTTAAAGAACCAAAGAATTAAAGGAAAAAATTACTTATCGTTCGTGTCAATTTGTTGACGGATCGTGTAAATAATATATAAATGAAGTTGAAATCCAAAGTTGACTTGCCGAATTGCATTGTTGATATACCTAGTAAACACTAAACAATACATTATTATCAACGCGAACTATCTATCCCTTCCAAAAGGAGGTATAAAAATATCAACATATTCTGACTGCAGGGGAATCCACCAATTGCAGTAAACTGAATCGGAAACTAACAATAAACTTATGAATGTACTCAACCAAACCACTAGTTTTGCCGTTTTGCGGTGGTCAATCGTGCTGTATGACGAACGCTCTGTGTAACAACTATAAGTAAACTGTACAGTACACACAACCATTACTGATCTGTGTCCTGTGATACACACCCGATTTTAAAAATATAACCTCAAACGAAGTATTCCTATTAATTATGAAACTTTAAATAAGTATAAACACTTGTAATCGTAGTGTTTACTAAGCTTGGAATTTCATAAGCAATATGCCTACAGTACTACTATTGGACGTTTCATTATCTATGGTACGACCAGTCCAAATCTCCGAAAACGTTGAAATTTCGAGAAAGTATTTAGCAATTCAAGGAATAAACGCATTTTTGGATTGCTTAAGTGTTCACTCGAGATTAGAATTTATTGCACTGGTGAGATTCTTTTGTCTAATTGTAAATTGCACACTTACATTAATATAGCACCGATGTCTATCTGCCATTTATTGGTCGTGTATTACAAATAGCCTAATGATTTGTTGTGGTATGTAATGTTTTTTTATGGTAACAGAGTGTAAGTAATTTGGCCAAATGCTGTGTAAGAGGAGGAAATATCAATGTTCCATTATACGTTACATGTAATTTTAGCATGAAGTTGTCCTCTTTTGTATGGTCGTTGCCAGAAAACGCTTTTTTGATTATAGGCTTGTACGTTGGTCTCCTAAGAGCTGCTTTAGTTAAAGTGAGTAATTTTTTGGTGCATTGCTACAGCGTGCTACGGAGACCAATGAACAAGCGTTATGTGTAACATTTAGATTTTAAATAGACGACGGTTTTTTTTGGTGTCAAATTATACAAGGGTGTTACTCACAGATTTATTATGCCTGTATTTTTATTATTAGGACGGGTCAGTTATTTATATAAAGTTTTAAATTTGTACCTGTATATTTCAACTGACTGTACCTTTAGGCACAATTTTTCCATGACGTATGAGTACCGGTCTCGTATCCACTTTCTTTTCACTTCTGTCAATAAAAATCTGACGTTTGCCATGTGATAGCCAGTTAGTATTCTTTTCAAATTATATTTATAACTAATTAAAACACGCATTGTTTTAGAAATAATATTAAATCTCGAAGAATTACATGTAGAATTTTAATGATTAGTACACTTTAAGAATGGGAACAAACATACCCTCAGATAACCTCTGTGATGTTATTGCGGTAAGATACCGCTTTGTATGCGAATTAATTGATGGCCTTCCAAAACTGTCCTTTGTGTCACACCAAGTTCAGGAATGCGAAATTGAAAAGCCAGAGGATACGGAAACACCGGAGGTCGATGCCAACAATGCCGCAATTTTTGAAGATAATGTCAAGTATTTACGGAGCTTAGACCCTAAAGAATGGAAGAAACAAGATCATTACCGCGTTTTGGGCATAAAAAATCTTCGTTTTGACGCATCTGATGATATAATTAGGACAGCTTACAGAAAAATGGTACTTAAGCATCACCCCGACAAACGCAAGGCATTAGGGGAGGAAATTAGGCCGGATGATGATTATTTTACGTGTATAACTATGGCGTACGAAACGTTAGGAACATTAAGTAGGAGACGAGCATATGATTCTGTTGATCCCGAATTTGATGATACCTTACCATCTGGGTCAGAGTTAAAGCAAGATTTCTATAAGGTTTTCGGTTATTACTTCGATCTTAATTCGCGTTGGTCCGAAAGACAACCTGTGTTCAAATTAGGCGACTCAAATTCAACTAGAGAGTATGTGGATAAATTTTACTCATTTTGGTATGACTTTAAATCGTGGCGCGAGTATTCTTATGAGGACGAGGAGGATAAGGAGAAGTGTCAGGATCGGGATGAACGAAGAATGTGTGAGAAAATAAATAGGGCAGAAAGGCAACGAAAGAAAAAGGAAGAGATGGCTAGAATACGTAGTTTGGTAGACTTGGCTTATGGTGCCGACCCTCGAATTGCCAAGTTTAAGCAGGAGGACAAAGAAAGAAAATTGGCAGCTAAGCGAGCGAAGCAGTCTGCTGCCCAAGCGAAAAAGGAGGAGGAAGAGCGTATTCAGAGAGAAGTGGAGCTGGCCAAAGAGAAGGCGGACGCGGCGGAGCGTGCTAAATTGGAGCAAATTCGCCAAGAACGTGAGGCGCAGAAGAGGGCTATTAAGAAAGAGAAGAAAATGTTCAGAGATGCATGCAAGAGTAATAATTACTACGCTAAAGACGATAACGAGAGATTAATTCACATGCAGGCGGTGGATCAGATCTGTGAAATGCTCAACTTAACCGAATTAGAAGAATTGAACAAGAAATTGCAAAATAACGGCCATAATTCCTTTTTGAAAATGAAAAACCAGTGCCAAGCAAGAGCTGAAGCAGACCGACGAGCAGCAATGGAGTCCATGTCCCAAAAAACTAATGACGCCATCAAAAACATGAAAAACAATGTCAAAATAAAAACAGAATGGTCTCAAGACAATGTTCAGCTACTCATAAAGGCCGTTAATCTCTTCCCAGCCGGTACGAACCAAAGGTGGGAGGTTGTGGCCAACTTCATCAACCAACACGGCTCATTCCCCGACAACGTGATGAAGTACAACTCCAAAGACGTGCTCGCAAAAGCGAAAGATCTACAAAACACCGACTTCTCCAAGAGCGATCTCAAGGAGGCCGCCAACAAGCAAGCCTTCAACAACTTCGAGAAGGACAAACGTTCAATACAGACGGTTGACGAGTCGGAGATTAGTAAAAAGACCGATGAGGCGGAGGTAAAGAGGCCAGTCAAATTGAAAACTGTCGAGAACGGATTGGGGACCGAGCAGGTGTGGACAGCGACCGAGCAGCAACTTTTGGAGCAGGCGCTCAAGACGTTTCCCGCAACAACAGGGGACCGGTGGGACCGGATTGCGGAGTGCATTCCTAATCGTTCCAAGAAGGATTGTATGAAGCGTTATAAAGAGTTAGTGGAAATAATAAAGGCGAAAAAGGCCGCACAGGCTGCAGTAGCTTCCAAATAACTATTTATAAGTTTGTAATTTATGAAATTTTACATTTTCTTGATTTTCATGATGTGTATGTAAGTAAGTGTAATTAGAAACATACTTAACTGGTGAAATCATTGTAAAACGCAGGTAGACACCATTTTGAAAAGTATTTGACTGAATGTAAATTCTTCGAGCTATTTTCTCTATTAAAATAGTTGCGCCTTGAAAATTGTCTTTTTGTTCTAGGCTGCATTTTCTTCATTGTATGAAGAACGATGCGCTTTTACCAGAGATTACAATGCGATTAAATTGGAGCTACAAAAGTTGGAAGATCATGATAAAACTGCTATTGAATCGGCATTACATGGTGTTAATCAGCTTGTTCTTGGGGAATGGGGAAATAACAGCGCTTGTCAGGTAATGGAGTGGCCAAATTCACAATAAATTTTGCTTTATTCTCTAAATGATTACTTAATAGTAAAAATAACTCTCTGGCTGTGTGAGGGTATAAGGTCTCGGCACAGGCCGTGTAGATACGTACAGGTAAGTACAATACTTTCAATGAAATCACAACGCAACAATATTAAATATGGAGTGCGCATGCGTGACCCAATTTAAGATTGGATAGTGTGAGGCTTTCCAATCACTTTTGTTAACACCAAGGTCAGAATTAAACCTGAATCAAATGTATTAATTATTTGTTATGCAAAGTTTAATGTATTGTATGGACTTAATATTAATCACAAGGTTTGAAATGTATAAGTACAGACCTTACGTAAAATTTGTAGTGTTCAGAAATTCATACCAAATGTCACAGTTTTGAATCCAAAAACTTAAATTTTTTAAATAGTGTAACACCGCAACGTTTGAAAATGACAATTCCCTCCAAAAGCTTAAATATAAAATTTCAAATTAAATACTGGCACGTAATCAAAAAATCTATGGCGGGGCCCCCTAACGTTAGTTGTAAACAACGCAGAGTTATGACCTAAGTTACAATAGGAAAGTAACGGAAATGAAACTCTATGATGGCGTAATAGTATGATTCGTGTACTTGGATAAGTCCTTGCATATTGATCATTTATTATTATTAAAATTCGAAAAAAAGCGTGTTTCTACAAATTGGCGTTCAACTTGTTTTTTCTCTGCAATTGTCTTATGGAAAGTGTGCTTTAGTTAGTATCAGTGGAAATGTTGTAGTTTCGGTTGTCCAGAGCTAAAATTTGTTTAGGGGGGTGCCATTTGAAATTAAAAAATACGACATTTGGCGAATGTCAATCAAAAATTTAATTTTTCCGATTAAATGTAAAAAAATTAGGTGACAATGGAAGAGCTATCCTTCAATTCAAAACATAACCGCCGCACCAGCGCGATTTAGTTTCTCTCAAAAAATTTCGAAAAACGGGAAATTTTGAAGGAAAAAAGTTGCATAATCGTTAAAGTTAAGGGTATAACATGTTGCATAAAAAATTAAGTACTTTTCAAAATCTGCAATAAAATATGGGGTATTCCATTAAAAAAAACGCAAGTATGATACGCCCTTCGCGATCAAAAATATTTTAAAAACATGGCGATGGTTATTGTGTACAATTTTACTCTAAGACTTTGTCGGTTTTTTTATGGTAAAGGAATTATGATCCGAGGAGTCTTAGATGCTACATCCTGTATATTAAACCGAACGAGTTGTTGTTATTGGTGAACATATTATGTAACGTCGATGCCTTATTTAGGCAAATCCTGAGTGTAATGGGTCTATATCATTTGCTGTATATAAAAGGAACTTTATTCACTAAAGGAGCATATTTCCCATGTACAGAGTCGCCGATAAGTCTGGAAACGGTCGATTACGGGAAAAATATACAAGGTATCGAAACACAGTTTTAGGGTTCTTCAATTTTAATTATACAGCGTTGGTCATATAAAAAACAGTTTCCTTAAGATATATTTAGATTTTGTTAGTTCTTTTGTTTGTTCATTTTCCGCCAGATGGCTCCGTTTGGAGAATTTAAAATTTGCCCTTGTTTTCCAAAATTTATCTGGCATGTGCCTTGTTAAAAAACTTGATTTTGATAACTGCACTGGGTCTGGATTTTGCGTGGCGCGGTACTTTCTTTTCGCATAACGTTGATCCATAAAGCATCTAAAATATAGTAAAAGTTTCTTTTACAAAAATTTAGCGTGCGGTTAATATATAGGTACGTTATAAAATGTAATTAGTTTGTATTGTTTGCGGTTAATATTATAGGGGAAAACCAAACCAACAATAAATAATCAGGGTGGATGTAAGATGAATGAACTTTGGAAATGGTGAATTTTTTCCACTCTGCCTAAAATAATTATTTATAAAAAATCACGGTTTTTGTACTCATCAGCCATTTCCACGGTCACGTATGCGCGTCTTTTAAATGAGAAGGAGATAAATGCCATTTCTTATTATATTTTTTTGGAAGTGATTTTTGTCTTGCTGACCGGAGACAAAAGGGCGAAACCGTATCACGAGTCAAACCTAAAAAAACTGTGGTTTCGTTTTCAGGAGTGGACGACCTTTCCAACGATGTGTTACTTTCCATAAGTTTTTTTTACTGTCAACTGTAGCTATTAAAAAGACATGCCAATTGTGTACGAGATAACACGCCGTCTACAACATTTTCACCTTTTAAAATGTAGAACAGCAACCTTAAAGCGGAAAAAACGAAATTCCGTGTTACAGTTTAACATTCCCAAGTTAGAAACTCTTAGCAAAGAGTAACCCTCTTTGTTCTTAGGCACAAATCAGAATTCCTAGTTCTAACTCAGAGTTACGAGTCCAGCTTTATTAATCTCCTCTATATTATGGAGAATGTAGAACTCGCACACTACAAGCTGACGAGTTCGAAGTCTAGAGGACAGACGGATGGAAATATGAGATTTCGCTAAAAGGAAACAGCTTAGTTTGGTTGTACGATTCTGACTCCTTCCAACGTCTATTTTGCATTTTTGCGGTTATCTTGAAGTCTTTGACATTATTAGACATTATTTTAGATCGTGCTCATAACAGATGGAAACGCCGGCATTGGCCCAATGTCGCTTTCCGAATCATTTTCCACATTAAATCATCGCAACGTGTCAAATCCGTTTCCATTACCGTTTTCTTTCCCAGCCAAGCTGCACGTAGTTTGTATTGCGCCACCCGATGATCCGAATTTAATGAAGTGTAAGTATATACCTCTTATAATAACGTAGTCCACACAATTGCTCTGTAGCTAAACCATTGTATCAAAGATTGGTGGACATGGCTGGGTATAACGGTTCTCTACTGATTCCTGAAGGCGGTTTAAGTGAGGCCAGCGTGGTTACCATGTTTCAAAAATTGGCGGAGGAGATGTACACCTCGTTTCGAGGAACATTGAAATGTGGCAATTTGGAGTCTCGAATTATGTTATCACCTGCACCAATAGTATGTATGGTTTGGAGAAAATGTAGAAATTTGATCGTATCTTTTTGTAGCCGTATATAAAGGTTACAGACTTTGACTCTCAAACGTATGTGTTATCAGAATTAATTGAAGTTTGTGGATTTATACCGATATCGGATGTTGGGTCACCCATGGCTATTAGTCGGCACCTAATACTTCCCACCAACAACCTTGGTAAAGAGAATGTGCCGTTAAGTATGGAAATTGACTTGACATCAGACGACGATACAACGGAGGATGGAAAAAATCCATCGTTTTGTGTTTTGCTACACGGCGCACTGAAAGTTGAAAATATGAGCGCGTTGGTTACCGTTGGTGATAATTGGTTTGGTTTTATTTACTCGTGGGCCGACTCTAAAAAGAAATCAAATCTTATGCTAACTGTACTGACTCCAGGGTCAGATGCAATACCATGGTTGGGTGATTTGTGCCATCTCGACTCGACCGACAACCTACCTCCTGATCAAATTGGAAGCTTTCCCGTTCGACCTTCTGAAAAACGCAGCTATTCCCAAAACGGAGTTGTGTGGATAAGACAATCCGGACTTCAATCCGATATACAGAAAATCTTAAGGCACGCGCGTAAACTACCGGAGAAAACTCAACAATTTTACAAGGTAGCGTGATTCATTAATTCGCAAATTCTGATCAAAATTTTAGGAATTAAATCGGTTGAGAAAAGCTGCTATTTCGCTCGGTTTTCTGGATTTGCTCAACGGGTTGGCATACATTTTTGAACAGGAATGTACGCAGTTACCTGGTAGTGCTCATCCTGATTGTGCGTTGCAGCTCACTCACGCTGCCGAGGTGCTTCGCAAAACGCAAAACAAAGACATTAAATTTGTTATATTGCCTTTACATACTAATTATAATAGTTCGTAATTATTTTTATATTTTGAATTACATGCCTTCAATAATTTTTGTGTTTATCTTTATATATGACCTTTGGCACATCGAAACTCTTCATTAGAAAGTTCTAAGGTAAGCAATAAACAAAAGTCTGTGTTCATAAGGCACATTTTTCGGAATGATAAAGCCATATTTCAAGAAGGCTGTATTTCAATTAGGTATTTGATTTTTTTCAAAAGTGCTCGCGTAGGTTTTAGGTTGGATAGGAGTGATCGTCGAAAATCCTTTCGGATTTCTTTACTCCATGAAAATTTAAATGATACGGCATCCTTTGAACCAGATTTACTGAAATTCGGTAGAACGCAACAAACTTTTCGATGGATAAAAACCATGGAGTTGAATAATTATCCGCCTAGGATGCTTGGCTTCACCACGAAATTGTGACTACTAAGCCCCACCACCACGACAAGGTGCATCCCATGGTGGGGACGATAGTAGGTGTATCGGCTGTGTACAAAACACATAAGACCGGTCCCATGACGCTTCCCTGGGGACGCTGGATTTGATAGGATATTGTTCCGAGACCGCTTCTCCATACTTAACTTGGAATGATCTTTCTTCTATATATGATTTGAGGATGCTGTAGTAAAGGTGTGTTATTGCAGTGGCTGACGTTAAATATAAGACTGCAGAGCCGTATTGCTTTACCCCGTGCAAATCAAAGAAACAAACAAATAAAAATGAATCTCAAAGTCTAATAAGGTCAGGTAAGAGTTACAGAGACATCTCCTCTCCAGACATTTGGAAGCCATTATGAAAACAATGCTCAACAGAAATTAATTGACACCGAAAGGGCAATCTGCAATTTCGCCAAATGGTTCCTGATTTATTCTTGAAATTTCACTAATATAATTTATTGAAAAATCGACCCATTAAATTTCGTCACCCAGTCTAATGCCTAACCTGCTCTCACCCTTAAAATAAAAAAAATCAATTTTAGCTATCTATAAAATTCGAAAAAATAAATCAAATTTAAAACTACCGTTACAGCATCTTAAACACTTTTAAGTATGTTGAAAGGTTCTTGAAGATCTCATAATCCAGCTAAAGAAGGTTTCTAGAGACATCATGCTTTTTAAAGGCTTTAAAACCCTTTGGAATACTGTTATAACCTCCGGAGGCGTTTGACACTATTAGAGATTTAGAGCTTTTCATGGCTTGACTCTTGCGAGAGAAGGGAATCTTAAGATTCTAGAAGCTTGATGATGATGAAGCCCTTGGAAGCTATTAGAAATGACTAGACACTCAGGTGCCCTTCTAAAATATTATTTCAAGGTTGAAGCAATTCACCCATCAACGGATCAGTGCCAAGTTTTAATTATTTTAATTTGCCATTTGGATAGTCGGTGCAACCATGTTATAACTACCTGTTACAATATAGAGAAAATAAGTACAAAAGTGGTCTTAGGGGTAGGTTATTGGGTATGCAAAATACCTAAGTGTTTATTTTTTATAACATTTTAATTTTTCACTAAATCTAAACATGTATCTTAATTCCGGAAGGACAAGTATATAAATAATTGGACGCAACGTGCTGCAAGCGTAATGAGCCATTGCGGATAGTAAATTTGTCAAATTTGAACACGTCACATTTTGCAACGGCGGTATCTTAAAATTACTAAGAGAGCCAGCAGCGTTAATTTCTTGTGCTATGAAATGTAATATAGCAAGAATCTGTCTTTGGAGGGAAACTGTAACATACAGTATGGTCAAAACTGTTCCCAAAACTAGCATAGACTGCACTTTTTTCGTTTTGCGCGCTAGCAAATTTTGGCCAACATTTTTTAGGTGCATGCTTTGATACGATCTAGTTATCAAAATTACGAGAGATAAGAACAATAGTGGCAGTGGAATTATGATTCTAAAGGCCACTGACAAATTTTGTAATAATCTTTTGTGAAATGTATCAAATATTGTACAAAGCACAACGCTATTTTCAACAGTTACCGGCGTTGACAGTGTGAGCTGTGGTATGCTTACCGATAAACCCACAAACCAAACTAAAAATAAAGGAACCAGTATAGCTATGTCGGTTTTTTTTCGTCTATAGTCAATCACGACGTTACGGTTGTAATGCTCTTCCTCGTGAGAAACCAGAAATTGATCAGAATCCTCTTCTTCACTGAGAGAAATGGGACTTTTACCGTCGTTCCGAATTTCTTGCAAATACAAGTTCAATGTCGACGTAATGTGAAAGTTTATGCAAATTGTTTCGTACAAGACAAAGGTATTGATCAACACTTCGCTACCGGAAAAAAATCGACAAAGCTTTGACGGTAACACCCAAGAGTGGTTGTTTATAATCCATATTTCAATAACGGCAACAAATGTAGACAAACAATCCACAATAGTTAAATGTAAAATTAGAGAAAAGATGCCTAAAAGGAAGCGTTTAAATTGAGTTCACTTAGCATTGTGCTTACCTCGTTCCTTTCGTTGTATCAAACAAATCGAAATACACACATTTAGTATTAAACCAATAAGCACGAAGCAATAATACGAAATTATAATCCAAAGAGATAATGTTGCACTTTCTTCACCTGAATTACTTTCGGTAAAATTTTCCATCTTCATACAAGAGCGTGGTTGTAAGGGAAATCATTTTAAAACGAGGCTGTGTCAAGAGCGACTGCAGGTTCTTTTAAGAAGGGACATGTGGTTGGATTTAACAAAAAGGAAATAACCAGCATTTAATATAGAGTGCAATGCCCAGACACTTCAAGCGAATGTTATTCTTAGAAATAAAAAATCGTTTCATGTCGCTTCGATGCAATATGCATAATAAATAGATACTCTGCCTTACCTACCACCCACATTAAATATAATACTTATTCAATGTGTCTATAATGTCTTTCAAATCACAAATGTTAATTGCAAAAAAAAAGATTAATGGCACGCAGAGTAAGCAAGTACAATATTTATTCGTTAAATTCCAGATGTAAAATTGAGCGGAAATAGCTTTTAAATCTGGAGATTAGATCGCTTTGTATTTTATAACGTTCATCCACTCTCCAGTCAATTAATTTTTTACCAAAAAACTTCAAACTATGATTACTTGCACGGCTTAAAATTTGGTTGTGATTGAGAAACAATCTTCAAAATTAATAATTTACCAGTGTCATTATTAGATATCCTCAAATTCTAATATTAGGTAATCCAGTGAATAGAGGAGAGTTACCTTATACAAACGGTCCGGTAGTTCCAAATTTTTGCTGCTTGAATGAACTACTAACGATCATATTGCATTTTCTTAAAAACAAGTCATGGGTGTGGGACCAACTTCTTCATCACACAATAAACTTTTGTTTGTGTTCTAAAAAATTTGAAAAATTAGATTCGACTGCTCAACATACGTATGATATACGTTTATACGCTAGTTCTAACCGATGCCGATGTACAGAGAAAATTGCGGTGACAGACGTTTACTAATCATCGCACAAAGTCTGTCGTTATCTCTCGATCTATAAGTCTAATATCTTGAAATACGGTCTGGCCAAACAAATAAACAAATACCATTCAAGAAAAGTCTGTAACCTTTGACTTCTGCCATGAATTAAAAGTTAAAAAAAGACAATTATAATACTGGTGCTATTTTTGGGGTCATACAGCGACCGTCATAAAATTCGAAAACCCTTTTTGCTTCTGCCGATATTTGGAGAATTCTATAGAAGGAACATTTTAATAAATGCAAAGAGAAAGAAGTTTGTCAATATTTCTTTTCCATAGCATTATTTCTTTTCGACTTACCAAAAACAAGGTGATTCAATTGCAGAATTTGTTGCTGATTTACGAAGATGTTTATTAGGTACGTGGCGAGTTTATAACAAAATGCGAATGTACGAGACGGGTATCAACAGCAGATTCTTTCCTTAGGGCGCAATTTATTCGTGGACTTCGGGATCAATGGATTACTGAATAAATCTTACAGCTCTAATTTACAGAATTTGAAGGTGTCATTACGAAGGTAAGGTAATTGCTCTAGAAGCTGCTAGATCAGATAGTAGAAACCTTTGAAAACCACAACAAACCATAACTTTAGGTATACCACCGCAGCATGAGACGTCATATGAAACCAACAAGGTACAAAACGGTCAGTTGATCAGACGCTGTAGGTACAAAAGAAAATCGGTGTCTAATCATAATGACGTACTAAACAATAATTCAAAAGATTACAAGCGGGATCAAAATCGGAGCCGAAGACATATAACACGCAGTACAAGCAGTGGAAGAGTATGGTAATTGGCAACCCTGTGGTGATTACCGCAGGTTGAACGCGGCAACAGTTCCAGATGCGTATCCTCTTCACGACGTGCAATGGAAGCTTCGCGGAAAAACACACTTTACGATCCTGAATCAAGCGTGGATATTCCAAAAACCGCAATCGTAACCCCATTTGGGTTATATGAATTCCCAGATATGACATTCGAGTTACGCAACGCAAGCCAGACGTTCCAACGTATGATAAATGGACTGTTGGCGGATCTCAATTTTTCGTTCGCTTATATCGTTGATACCTTAGTGGTGTCATCGCTCGCTCGCTCGAAGAGCATCTTTAACATTTGCGTTTGGTGTCAATGCGTCTCCAATCGGCAGTGCCGTTTTGGACAATCATCTGTTAAATTTTGTTTTGGGCCACAGCTGACATCGTCATCCGGCAGCGGAATGGTCCAAGCGATCAACAATATCCCATTGCCCACTGTTGTGAAGGAACTGCGTCGTTTTCTTGGCGTTTTATTCCTGGTGCAGCTCACTGCCAAGACGCGCTGAACAACCTCATCGTTGGCACCGTAAAAGATCATAAAACAAAAATTCTTTGAATGCAACTCACCCGTGCGCCGTTCGAAGTGGCGAAAAGACTCCTCGCCGAGTCAACAATGTTAGCACACCCGAAGGAAAATGCACACCTTGTTCTTGAAACGGATGCAAGCGATGCCGCAATTGGAGACTAGGTAGTGGACGGCATCATCTAATCTCTTGCGTTTTACTCAAAAAAGCATGAACCATCCGAATACCGATATGACATTTATAAGGAACTATTGGCAATTTGGTGGGTTATCCGTCATTTCGATCATTATTTAGAGGGCCAACCAACCATTCACTGTGCTTACTGACCGCAAACCACTGTTTGGTGCGTTTGGAAAGATGAGTCATCACACCGATCCAACGCGGCGGCGTCGGGTGGCGCAGATCTCCATCATTCAACTTTTCAGCGATCGCCGCCGATCAAATATTGGATCTTGAATTACAACAATTGCTCTGTGTCGAGAACGCCAGCTTCAAACTGCTTCGATTGAAACACTTCGACTCGAGTCTCGAATTGGTCTGTGAAGTATCCACTGGCAAAATGCGACCTTTCGTAACAAATTCGTTGCGGAAATCGTGCTTCAATAAAATGAACTCATCCATCCCGGAAGCCGGAACTCGAGGTACGCAGAAATTGATCCGTCAGCGATTCTTCTGGCCTTCCATGCGGAAGGACATAGCCAATTTTGTTAAGCATTGCATACCATGCCAGCAAGCCAAAGTGCACAAACACAATAGAGCAATCTTAGACAAATTTGACCTTCCATTTGAGCGTTTTCAACATGTGTATATTGAAATTGTAGGATCGCTACCGCCGTCGGTCGAATGGGGTCAGTATATTTTTAGCGGGGAGGAGGGGGAGTATTGTGGCGACCATTCGGTCCGCCAGTAACTGTCATTGTTTCCACGATGACGATAATGATAAATAAAAATCTATCATAATAATTCAACGTTGGACATAAAGGATTCCCACAGACCTATGATACGTCTCTTAACCATGCCAATCCAAATACCACTCTTCAAAGGACGCAATAAGTTGGTTTCTTAAAAATGATGGGGGTTCGGTTGCCCACATCCACGTGCCTAAAGCCTAACTTTTGAGTATTAACATCTTGATAAATGGACCCACGCTTCGTCACTCATACAAGTTAGATTTAAAACTTCCTTGTTGTTTAAACAATTATTAAACCAGCGAAAATAGTTGCGTCTACTTTCATAATTTCCTGCATGTAGTTGTTGGACAGACGAACTTTTAAAGGAATAAGTACATTTTGAGATCTTTGTGCAAAATTCTGTGCCACGCACCATTAGATAAGCCTGTAATGATAACAAATAAAGATGTTATCGTTTCTATTAAATTACACCTACCAGCCTCACTCGATAGTTTGCCAATTAATTTCTTAGGGGTCTGCTCCATACGTTGTCGAATTAACGGACGCCTTACAGATACACTTCTTATTCTCAAAACGTTCGCTAACGGCTAACGCAGATTTTATAACTGAAGTGGTGGCAGGATATTCTTTGTTAAATTGTTGAAAACCGGACCTAGTGGAATATGACCATGTACCATCTTATAAACGTGTTGCGTTACGACCGTGCCCCATTAATATGAACGTATCATGTTCAGGGGTAAAAGCCATTCTCGATTCTAACTATCAGCTGGGGTTATATCATCCTTATAAAGTGTTTTATCTTACGTATGTACGTACCTTTGCAAAATGTTGCACTTGCAGGAGCTCAGAAAAGAACTATTTCTTTTAAAATGCAAGGTTCGTGGTAGAGGTAGAGACAAGAAAATTAAAGCACACGTAAAAAAACCTACGCCAATGAATTGTAGTTAGTATGATTTGTGGGGGAAAACCATGACCGCCAACCCCTTAAGTAAAACAACACTAAAATTGCAAGCGCCAAATTCAAACTGTCTGCAGTCATTTTGGACCACCCGGTATATGTTACAGTCAAAGTAATTAATGCGGCGATTATTCATAATAGCCAGTCAATGTTAATAATTGAGGGAAGAAAAATTTTTTTAACAGCCCTCGGAAGGATTTTTTTTAAATTCAATATCTTCTTAGTTTCATAATATAATACACCCCAACATATACACCACTTCAAAATTTTATAATTTTGTGTGCGTCTTCTACACATTAAATAGTGCACAATAAGTTACAAAATTTAGGAGAGAGGAGTAAGTTCAGATCTTCAAGAAAAGGCGTACTCTTTGCTTTTCAGTCACTACTCGCTAATAATTTTTCTATTATTTAATTAAAGGATAATAATCACTTATAATGACAAGAAAACGTTTACTTATCATAAGTGAAAATAATTTAATCGTCCTTATTTACTTGAGATAGCTAACCAAAAAGCTATAACTACATAAAAATTGTGTAAAATATACCTACATTGTTTATTATTGGCTATCAATCAAGGAACTTGTCCTTAAAAGCATGTTTTATGAACTTAATATTATTTGTAGCAATTACGTCGTGCTAACTAATATATTGTTCAGTGGTAGCAAGTGAATTAATTGTAGCATTACAGTTTACTTGGACCATTATTGTCAGTGTAGGTATGTTGTATGTTGAACTAACTGTAAAAACGTTACTATGAGTTATCCAAATAAGGTTATCCTCGTCATTGCAGGGTACCAAATTTGAAAGTATGATATAGCATTAAATTGTAAGTAGGTACTTAAGGAAAAAAATAGATCTAACTGAAAATTAATCTCAGCATGCGAACATTCCGGCCTTGGCTAACAATGAAGTACGAAGTTGAAGAAATTTAGCAATCTATCTATTTTTAAAGATTTTATTATACAAATTGATTCTTTAAATGCTGGAATTTTACGTTACGTAATCTAACAGATCCTCAGGTATACCTGTTTATTGTGGGAAGTCAGTTCTCACCAAAATCAACGCGAAGAATAAGATGCATCCGTACAAGGCCAAGACAATTACAATTAATTGTATTTGGCTTGTAAAAATAGCAACCTAATTGTCGGTTTGATTTTAAATGAACAACTAGCATCAATTGATATTTATGAATGTTTTATATAAACGTTGTAAGTCTAAATTTCTCAAATACCATCCCAGAAAAATCCGTTACCTTTGACTTCTGTCATAAATTATATAAAATTTAAAAAAAGTTAACCCCGCATTCTTAACGCACCTGCTAAACAGCTTCCACATCATTTTTTAAAGGCCACTGAGATACCCAAAACAGGTTTACTCATCATTATTTTGTATAGTACTTCATTCGTGTTGAGATTGTGTGGTAGTGCATCAATAAGAATTGCGTTTTGTTAATTAAAATGTAGTGCAGATTCTCGAAAACGAAGGTGATGGCTTCCACGTTGGAATTGGTTACGAACTCTTCGCAGAATATAAGTCAGGAAGACGGCGACCGTGTGAAAGCCGGAAAAGGAATATTTAGTATAGCAAGATGGAAACAACGCTTAACTTATGTTGGCGAAGTAATTACGATAGAGCCTCTACTTTGCTGTTACTTAATGGCTTCAATTCTCTGCAGTCCAGCTTTAACAAACTTAGAGCTCGAAAAAGCATGCAAGGCGAACGAAGGATATAATGATACGGTTTGTGATTCTATTCTAAGCGGTACGTTTAAGGAGAACAATTTGACAGAGGAAAACAGATTGGTCCAACAGCATATCGTTCAGATGCACTCTTGGCAAAGTCCTCTGCAGAGTGTCATGCCCATTATACTGGTGCTATTTTTGGGGTCATACAGCGACCGTCATAAAATTAGGAAACCCTTTTTGCTTCTTCCGATATTTGGAGAATTCTTCGCAGTAGCCGGATGTATCTTGTGTGTCATCTTTATGCGCGAGTTGCCTTTGGAATTTCAAGGTTTTGCACAAACTGTTGTGCCGTCATTCCTAGGAGGTCCGACGATGATCATCATGGCTGCGTTTGCATACATTGCCGATGTGAGCACTTTGGAAATGCGAACGTTGCGCGTGGGCGTCGTGCAAATTGTGTTGAACGTTTGGACGCCGATCGTTCAGTCATTTAGTGGCATTCTGTTTAGCGCCATTGGATATATCGGTATTTTAATAATAGGTGCAATCTTCTACGTTATAGGTTTCGCATATGGGTTATTTTGGATTAAAGAACCAAAGCAGCCGGTCGGATTGGAAGATAAGAAAAGCTTGATCAAGGATATCTTTGATCCTCATCATGCCATAGAAACATTTAAAGTGCTGATCAAGAAGACGGAAGGCAATGAACGCGTCGGAATTCTCTTGATAATGGTTATTCTATTCATCTATGCTGGAGTAATAAACGGTAAGAAAGTTTCTTAACACTCGGATTTACAGTGAGACTTATTTTTAGGAGAAGGATCTGTTTTTTTCTTGTTCACTCAAACAGTATACGAGTGGACCGTTGTAGAATTTAGCTACTTGCTCACCTTTAACACAATTATTCATTTAGTGGGTAAATTTTATGTTTTATTATTATATTAAAAATATTCTAAAGTACTACGAGTAGCCTAAAGTTTAAATTTTTAGTCATAAAAGTCAATAAACATGTTTTACTGATTTTAAATAGTAGATACGCCATGGATTCATGGAGATTTTGTTTTGTGTATTATATCCATAATAACTAAGGGAACCCGTAACAATCAATAAAAATGGCTAACGGTATAAACGTATCATTTCAAAATTTTGAAAAATATTATATTATATTGTAGATTAAACAGACCATTTTAGGTCTTGAGCTAAATTAATACAGTACCACTTAAACTTACAACTCATTCATTTCTTAAACTTAAATAAATAATAGCATAGAACCCCAACATATCTTTCAAATAAAATAAACTAAACCAGGCTAATAGTAAAAGCTGAACACTGTGCACTCTCAGACACGATTTCTTGTCTCTTGCTAGTTCCTTCCAATTATTTCTCCACAGCTTGTATCTATCTAGTCCTCGGTCTTCCTCTCTCCCTTTTTCCTTCTGGCACCCTCCAGGCCACCTGTTTAACATTTCTTCCATCGTCCATTCTCCCCAATTGTTCTAGCCACTGTAATCTTCTATTTTTTACGAAATCTCTTGCTGACTTTTCCCCGTATAAATAAAACTCCCCTCCCCCTCACCATTGATCTCGGAAAGGAGTCGCGAAGGGAAGTTATAGTTTGTAGAAAGCAATTCGCTAGATAATTCCTTTCGATAAAAAATAATTTGCCCTTTTATAGATTTTCTCTGCCCTTCCTTGAGGTAAAGGCTGGCTACGGCCTTGTTGATAACAAAGGTTGTTGTATTTGGTGCCCCCGTAGAACTGCACATGTTTACTATTATCACAGTCTACATACAAAGCTATTATTCCTTAATACAATTATTTTATGTACATAATTTGTAAATATTTTTATTTTTGGGCAGGAATATTCAGTAAAATAAAAATTGTACCTACTACTTAGCGTTTTCCATGGTTACCATATTACGATAAACGGCAACGGGCAACACCACAAGAGTTGAGAAAAATCAGATTCTGATTCTTGGGGTGCTTTTGGCTACTTTTAGATACACTTACTTTATTTGCCCAGTCTCTTGTATTACTTTAGAATATTTTCTTGAAATATCCTTTAATGCACTGATAATATCTCCTAAATTTTCTAGGAACCGTTGTGGCGCTCCCAATATTTACAACGGTATTGAAACTGAATGATTTGGTAATAACTGTGATATCTTTTCTGGACAAAATTATTGCAAATTTCGTTTTTGCTACCGTGCTCTCCACCACAGGATTATATGCTGGTAAGTTACAGTCTAAGCCAAATCAACGCAGGTGATTCTTTCTTAGTCAAACAGAGCATTTGAATTGTTCTAACATTGTTGCTGTTGCTTGATTGAGTAGAATTTAAAGTTAATTGTTAATATTGATGTAGGTACAATTTTACATAAACCTCTACAAACCCACCACCAGCGTTCCAATTGTGAAAAAGATATGATAATAATTATTATAATTATTCTTCTTCGTTTTTTAGGCATTGCGGTTAGCATTATAATAGGCGTGGCGACAATTTCTATCAGATCCCAGGCGACTAAGATTGTTTCCGAGGATGATCTTGGAAAAGCCCAATCACTATTTGCCATAGTCGAGGCGATATCTCCCATGATATGTGTTCCACTGTATAACGAAGGCCTATACAGTTATACTATAGACGACTACCCTCAAGCATTTTTCTTTTTAGGCATTGGATTATACGCGGTGGGAATTGTAATCCTTCTGTAAGTATACTGAAAAAATCGCTAACAAGCTAAGTGCAACGTGTTTTAGGTGGCTGTACCTAAGAGAGAGGAAGAGGCGAGTCCCCGCTCAAAGCAACGGCGTGGGAGATTCAGAAAAGTCTAAAGATATTGTTATTATAGAAACTACACATATGTAAATCTAAAAATATAGGGTGGTTATTAACTAGTACTAAGTTGAGAAGCTCAATAACAGTGTGTTCTAAAGTTAGTTACCATTTAAGTTTCTGTTTAAATTTTTAATTTTTTACTACACTTTTTATTTATTCGTTATATATTACTAAATACGGAATTTATGACGATCACTTTATCTTGTCTTTGTTACCTATCATAACAATGATGACCCGATTATCGAAGGAAAATTTTAATAAATGCAAAGAGAAAGAAGATTGTCAGTATTTCTTTTCCATAGCAATATTTTAAACGTTGATGGAGTGTGATAATTGAACTCTATTTGGTGAAAAGTCCGGTAGAAGGCCGAACAGATTTCTTGATATTGGACATTATGTACTATTTGGAAGAAAACCTGGAACCGCAATCCATCGTGCCAATGTTGAACGAAAAGTGTTGATATATAAAGGCGAAGAATTCTATCAACGTTAACCTTGTCTTGTCTTGTAGTCTCATTTTCGACTAAACGGATGAACCCCTCTCCCACATTTCCCCTTAATGGAAACTACGCAATTAATTAGTTACCATCGTTTTCAAATTTCTTTTAATTCTTAGTTCCTTCTTTTACAATGGATTTTCACATATCTTCCTGGTTCCTAAAGTTTTATCCCTGCTTGGGTTTATTCCACTATCCTTCTCCATCAGTTCCTTTCGCTTACATTAAATTTGTCGACTTCCTGTTCCATATAATTTCTCGGATTCTTCAGATTCTTCGAATAATTAAACAATTCAAATCTCGTCGACTTGCTCGCTGGCGTATCCTTTCTCTGCTCCTTTGATCTTTCACTCCATACATTAATTCACTGAATGACTTATCGCATTTTGAGCCTTTAACTTATTTGACTTTTCAAATATTCCTCGTTCTCCCTCGACGTTTCCGATTTTTTCTCAGCTTCTATTCCAACATTTGTTATTTAGGCTTTGATTGTTTTTTCAACAAGTTCGGGTTTCTTGACTATCAATTATTTTTGTCTCTCTAGGTTCCATCGGATTCTATTGCTTTACTTTATTATCCGGCTTCTTCAGGCTCTTGGGGATTATTTGTCGAAGCAATAATGTAATAGATTTTGGAAGGAAATCCTCCGAACGATCGCCGCTTCTATACGATTTTGGGGATGCTCTGTTAATTACGAATAAATAGAGCTGCTCTTCAATCCCTCGGTTTACACGACCGATTCTTCGATGTCTTACCTTTTTCCCTTTCCTAAGCATCGCATCGTTTTCTTCGTTGAATTCCTCATTTCTTCCTCAGTTTCGTAGACTTAAAACGATTTTTTCTACTGTGCCGGTTTCTACGACATTTTCAGGATTTTTCTCGTTATTCGCCTTTTTTAGTTTCGTCACATAATCCGTTCCGTTTTTGCTATTTGTTCATATTCCACTGCAATGTTATTTGTCTTATAAATGTTAATATTGACGTCAGAAAATAATAGATATTATTCCTTACAAAAAATAACAGACTGCCAATGCAAATCTCCGACACTGTAACGCTTTTAAGATTTGGAGGCACGCCGTTAATTGAGACGAAAATTGGGAGGAATTCTCGAGTATCTCGCTTCCTTGGTGAGAAAATCCGAAGGGGTGTGAAGAGAATGAAAAACCGAGGAGTGGGGGCGTGACATGAGTGTCTGCATACGATGGGTCTGGAAAGAGGAGATCTAAGGAAGTTCAATGTAGAAGAATTCAAAGAGGGAGGTGCATGGAAAGTATTCGGAGCGGGAGAGGTGTTACTGAGAGAACCAAATTGTTAATAAATAATAATTTAGCCAGAAATTTTGTTCACAATTTAGATTTACTAACGTATGCGATCCATACGTTCGTATTTAATTGTAAGTTTTGATGGAGAAAGAAGTCAATTTTTCAATCGTTCATAAATGGACTTCTTGCGTTATTTGCTCTTCTAATCCGACATGAGAAACAGCATTACCAGAACGATTGCTATTGTTCTTTTCTCTCCAAAGCATAAACCTGCAAGTTTAACACTAGAATAATAAATATCCCCAACAAGTCCAGGTTGATGCTTACAACAGGATCGGTATTTCCAGTAAGTGTACTCCGATGCCAAACAGTAGAAACGCCTGTGGGAATGTGGTCCGTGTATGCTCGTATATTCCTTGGTGATAAACTTGTGCCGCAACTGCTGCAGCAATCGCTTGAACGATTGTGCTTAGGGAAACTGCTTTGGCCACATCATTGGCGGAAACAACCTTAGTTAGGAGAGAGCGAGTGGCAGGGTAGCCCGTTGGTTTTAAAATTGAGCATGCCTGACCTAAACAGAAAAGGTTGTAATTTAGATTTGCCATGAATAAATAACAATTACCCCCTTTGAGCTAGTAGCAAATCCACTCTTTTACCATCAATTCAATTTGACAAGGTTACCTTATACAACATGAGAACAAAATGTGAACATTTGCAAGATGAAGGTAATTTAATGTGAAGTTTCATTATATGGTGTAGTAGCTATTTGCATTAAATACATGTCTATTAAGTACAGTGGAAATGGTATACAATGATAACAGTAAATTAGACATTTACAATCGTGCTCTGAGACATTGATTATGTATTCACTTTTTCGCTCGTTTTCTTTCTATTTGAGTAATATACTAAATTTACCAATGTAAATGCCAACAGGCGACTGAACGATGACGAAAATGGCACTCGACAATATAGAATCCACATAAGCGATAATTATTATTGCAATATCGTGAAGTTTGAACACCTTTACAAATAATGGTACCGCAACCGACAGAGCTGAAAGCATAAAGATTAGTATCACAATACATTTTTGAAAGTGGGTGTCATCAACCTATAAATTTCAGCACTGTATTCCCAGTCGTAAAATAGCTGTACTCCACTACGGTCCATTGATAAGCTTGTTGTACAAATAAGAAGAACGCGCTTTGCTCACCTGGAAATTGCAAGATAAAGATCTATTTTGAAATTCTTCCATATCAACCTGAATATATCATTGCATGCAAAAAGCAAATCAGTAGTAACATTATAAAATTCGCATGGTCAACATTATTCTTCTTCCGCACCAAGAGCTTAAACGTATCCGTAACGTGCTCCAAATTGCAAACGTCTTGGATTAACTTCTTTTTGCTCTGTTGAGTTGTAACAGATTCCTTTACCACGCAAACACCATACACGAAGGCAGTGACAGACATACACAAACTTATACCAAATATCGTAAAGTAGCCCACTTTACGAAACAAAAGTCCACTTACTGCTTGGAATATTGGCGTCAAGATCGTTAGGGCGATCGGTATCGTAGTCAACCTAATGAGTCGCATTTTTGGTGTACTAATGTCGGCAATATATGCGTATCCAATAGTTGAGGTCATTCTTTCCGAACCAAACATCGAGGGGATCACTTTATCGGATATTACCTGAATTTCCAAAGGCCATTCGTACATGTACCAAACATTGATGGCACTCCCAATGAATCCTACTGCATCGCCGATTAACGGCATTAGTATGAAGGGCTTTCGAATTTTATGGCGATCGCTGTAGGCACCCACGAACATTATAATTATGACAGGAAGAACGCTTGACACTGGCACATCCCATGAACGCACTTGAGTTATGTAGGATTGAACAACGTTGTTTTCTTCTGTGAAGTTCTGTTCCCGATATGTTCCCGAGAGAATTGCTTCACAAATGGTATCGTTATATTTCGCATTCACCTTACACGCTTTTTCAAAATGCAAATTCGTAAGGGCGGGTCCGCTCATTATCCTGGCTAGAACAAGTAGACAAACCAAAGGCTCAATGGTAACTATTTTCTTAAGGTGCAAGAGTTTTTCTTTCACATCGATCATTCTCGCCTTGGCATTTCCAATTCGCTTTTTCGATTGTTCATGATTTTCTTCCGTTGCCATTCCATCGAAATCGATATACTAAAATAATGTTTTATAACGTATATTAAACTGTAACAATGAATGACGTAGAGGTAATAATTGCTTTTTTGTATTAGCAATATCAAGTGAACGTGTCGATGGATTTGCAATCTATTTAATTCAGCTAGCAACTTGACATTAAACCTATTATTTTTTTTCATTTATAGGTAGTAAACAAAGACGAATGAACCGTATATGTAATTATTATTTGTTTGGACAGATGTATCACGTAATACATTACAGGGATTTATTTTTATTAGTATGCTGAGCAATAGCAATTATTATACTTTTGGTTTCGTTGTGCTTGAGTGTCGGTCCGACCGACGCAAAAAGCAAAAGGATTTGGGATTATCTGAGATTTTTCGAGATATTTAATTGCCTACGCGGGAATGCGGTAACGGGTCGTCCGCCTCGGTTTAAGTGAGCCTTTATGCTTTACCTGATGTTAAACAATTGATTAAACTTTAACTTTTGTTGGCCACTGGATTATTAGGTAAGTTTGGAAGTTATGAACCCAAGAGTTTCCAGAAGGATGGGTATTTTTCGATTTTTTACATTCTGTAATTTTGGAATCGTCAAATTTTAAAACGTGCATTCCTAAAAACTGCTTAGAAATGCATTAGCTTTGCCCATGCGCCACCTATTATTAATGAACTGAGCTTATATTTAAATACATAGTTAATTTTGAATGGAACATATGCAACATTTTTTGAAAAGAGTTCAGTGGCATCCCAACCAGACATATTCATCTACACGGATGAATCGAAACAATGGAAGGAAGAGGCACTGAACGTCCATATCACCTAACCAGTAGGCAAACTTCCTACTGTATTCCGATCAGAATTGGTAGAACTAACGCCCAGTGCAAGAAAAGTTCTTATGTATAACATGTATATCATAAAGACTCTGTCCATCCTCCTATCGCGATCCAGAATGGTCGGACCAAACTACCGATTTAAAAAAATACTGGCAATACTGGTACATACGTTTTAAGCTAATTATGTTTCTGGTGAATCCAAATCTAAAGCTTCAGTGTAGAAAAACAAACATCTGAGTTGATCTTGACGATTAAAGAGTTTTTTTTAAGATTCAATTAGAATCAATGAAAGTTTTAAGGTAATAATCCTCAGTGGAGTGGGTCAGATTTTTGATTATTTTTTCTTTAATATGCTTGCGTTTATATATCTATTAATTTAAATAATGGATACTTTAATGTGCCCAATTCAATAATTATGTTGTCAATTTTAGTTGGCACACGTGTATCCCATTCCATAATCCGCAAAAATAAAGTTTGGAGTCGATCAAAATAATGACTACGGCCACGTGATCTTTAAAAGCTAAAAAATTAACATCAAATAACTAGTTGATTAGCGTTGTTTTTAGTTTTACTTTTCTGTGTTAGATTATTACACTTAAGTCATTCTCATGAGTGAATGCAAAAGTATGAGGTTACCACAGCATGCATTTTCAAATAGGTGAATTAAATATCATTACCTTTCTTTGACTGGTCCGAGTTAACAAGTCATTTTATTTTTCGCCAAAATAACTGAAAATTAAAATTTTAAAACTACGAAGTTGCCTGTCGTCAACTCATAACATATGTAACTGCATGACTGTGACAACACTATACTGTATTTTTGCGTTTAAAACGTATTTTTCTACACGTTTGATTCCCACGAACCCTTTTAACTGATTAAATCAACAATTGCATACCTAATTCATTTGAGAATAAACTTGAAATCAACAATTCGTAAGAAATGTTCCTTTCGGCCAGCAGGTAAAACACAGACTCATATACACAGAATCTGGACTTTTTGAGTTAAATCAGGGCACGGATTTGGACGCTGATCTTGTCTTGTTAGGTAAAGTACGAACGCAATACACGGCAAAATGCTTATTTATTATTAATGTAGTAGGTTAGTATTCCACCAATTATAGCTAGTGGGACAGAGCTCAAAGTTTAAACTTTAAACCAATTAATATTAATACTAGTAAATATACCGTACTTGAATTACGATTAAACAAGTCTTCTAGGAGTGATTGTCACCTGATATTTAACGTAACTCCAAAAGTAAAGATCTAACGGTGTTAGATCCGGAGATATCGCAGACCAAAGTAACCAACTCACCATCATCTGGAAATATTTGCCTGAGAAAATAAATAAAATAAATCGATTCGATCTGATTAAGGGAATTCCATCCAGAAAATTTTCTAACTCGGGTTGTAAGAAATTGAGGCACCTTTCAGGATATGGATGTCCTTGATACATGAAAGGTGCAGTACCTAATCACACTATTAAATATTCCACACCAAACATTTAAACTGCACTGGACTTAGATCTAATTTCTATAAATCTCTTTTCATTTTATGTAAATCAGGGTTGTCCAATTTCAAGTGGCCCAAGGGCCACTTTGAAAAAAAATACAACTTGGAGAGCCGCATTATAACATCTTTGTATGCAGCTTTATCAGTGATATAGTGCATACTTCGTATTTCAGGGAAATTTATACATTTTAGCGACCCGCTTTACGGGGTTGTTTTCATATTCGTTAATTAGTACTTGACAAAGCTCCTTTCCTCCTTTTACTCCCAACATAGATCGTCGTACTGGACTCGCGGGGACATTCACAAAGTATGTGGTGTGCCGTCTTATCGTCTATGTAACATCCTCTACATGATAGTAATTCTACCAAAACCATGAGGTGCATGTGCCTGTTTTGTTTATAGTGACCAGGGCCAGCGTCCTCTGAAGGCGATAGGCTAAGCGGGAGAGCCGGCTCTGAACCATAAAACACTTGTTTTGAGGGCAGCAGGGCTAACTCGTCGGTTTTCTTTCGTTCCAGGAACTCTTACGAGCTCAAGGGTGGTATTGATTGCTACTGGATCTAGTGCATGCTGACATTCGTAAACCACCCTAGAGGAGGAGAATTATACTTATCTTTGCACATGATTAAGAAATGCTATAGTTGTGGAGAGTCTGGTTCGAGATTACCAGAAAATCGCTCCATAACATTTACGCCACCCCTACCTGGGGGTTTGGGAGCATTAAATCACCGAAAATTTTACAAAAGTTGAAGGTTTAAAGCTTTATGATGCGAGAATGTCGGTTTTTTAAAAAATTGAAATTTTGTCAAGTTTTTATCACATGCACGTTAGTAAGGGAGGTATTGCATTGCACTAAAAACAGAACCCTCACATTTTTACGGAAATACACGTTTTGAATCACCATGAATCCAATTCAAACAAAATCTCGAAGATGTGGGTCTGTTTGCTGGTCTGTCTGTCGGTCTGTTAAAACACCATAAGGATCAGATTACGTGGAAATTCCACTAGTGATATTTTAAAACCGGAAATACCACTTCGTTCAAAGTTCGTTCCGTTTCGTTAAAATTTTTGATGACATACCTAATGGTAATCACAAACGTCATTGTGGTCACAAAGTACAGCAAAGAAACAGAGAGAACCTGTGGAAATTGTGCCGAAAACCTCCATGCGTTTGAGGACTAAAGTCAACGTGTGCTCAAACTGTAAACCACACGGAAACAAATCTACCATATAATGTTAAAAGCGAAGAATGTCCTATTTACAAGATTATCAGAAGAGCAAATGATGAAAGTCAAAATACTAAAACTAAAAAAAAGAAATGTGACAGGTTGTTTAATGGGAGCATAACTTCATCATTTAAAAAAGGAAATCATTAATACAAACTTACTCAAAATTCAAATCGCAAGTGGAAAACTTAAATCGATATTAGAAAACCAACCAAGGGCTTTTCAAGAATAGTAATAATCAAAACCATTTGAACTTTGCTTCATTTAACAAAATTATAATTCGACTGATCAGAGAGAAATAGTTTTTAGATGGATTTTCGAGGTAAAATTCTTTTGAAATGGGTTTTCTGCTCACAACTTTTAATGTCCTCCTTCAATCCCTAAAAAAACACTGTTTTCTATTACAAACCAACGCCGAATCTCTCATTTCTCTTACTCTGCTAATTAGACATTAGATAAGTTTAATGGATTTTGTTTATTGCTTAATTTAACAAAAAAACTTTTTTTAATTCCTTTTTAAGAGCTGTAATTATTGGTCATAAGCAGGAAATTTATACAAAACATTTAATTTAATGAACGCTGTCGTATAAATTACAAAGTGGTAATTTGCATATCCAAAGACACTCTCCGGTCAAATGCGTCAATTATCACTGGTGGATCTTTCGCGTCTTTTCTCCTTGGCTTCCTGACGTTGTGGTACATTAACCTTAATTCGCACGATGCTTGAATATAATAATCGCACCTGCATACTTACAAAACAATTAATATACCGATGGCGCCTAATGCAATTCCGACCAGGAAAAATGCATGGGGAAACGTAGCCTGAGTTAGTCCGTAAATTCCTTTGTTGTATAAAGCCGAAGCAAACGCTTCGCTGCAGGAGTCGACAATTGTGTAAAGCGCAAGCACCTTGCATATGTCGTAGTGATGTACGTACTTCGTTAATTGAGATCGAATGCCCACCAGGGTTAGAATTCGTAATATCGCAATGGAACAGCCTGTAGAAAACAAAACTAATTAATCTTGTAAAAGCATTTCAAAACCGCATTTTTTAGTTCAATTACGTTTACCATTTCAAACCTTACCCAGATATCGAACGCTCACGCGTTGTTAACTGATAATTGTTTAAAGCTATAAAACTCCATTTTATTGTTATACGAGGGTATTTAGTAGGTATTAGAGTAGTGTGTATTGCTGTAATACCACGCATAATTTCAGCTTGTCTAATTATTTTTATGTAAATCAGAAAGACTTGTTTATTTAAATTGATTGTAGGGATTTATTACATACAAATGCTAAATTATTGCTTTTAAGTAAATTGATAAGACATTGTAAAATGATCATCGTTTAGGTATGTTTGTGTAGAATTTTGTTATTTTTTGATCTGTAGTAGTAAATAAATAGCTTTAAATAAGAAAAATATTTCATAATATACCTATTGTTTGTGTCAATGTGTAGATTAAAAATTGTTAAAAATAAATACAATTAAATTTGTGGCCTTTTAAATCGATCATGATGATGATCGTGACAGTCTCATTTAATCTCGCTTAATGTTAGTCTTGAAGTTCTGCTTGACCTTTGTAGTATTTTGTATTTTTGTGTGGATCATACTGGGCGACCAGGTAGACATAGCAGTATATTATGTGATCCCTCGTCACTTTTTAACTGCGTTGGAACCTTAGGCGTCTTAGTGTCGTGGGATATGGCGTGATTGTCAAGGCTTGTAGAAGAATTTTAGTTTATGCCGCATTCTCCATTATCTAGGTTTTGCGCTGTGTGGTACTCCGCTGAGTAGACGGAAAAATAGTCGACAAAATGGTACAGGCCGGTCTATAACACATTACATAAGTAGCTGGTTTATTCAATGCCGTAGCCATTATTCAAAATGTCGGCATCGAACCTTTTATCGACACTTTTTTCCTGGGTGTTTGGTACTGTCACAGTTGATGATATTGCAGAAGGGGGGGACTGAAAGTAGTGGCAGTATAATTGATCAACCGAATGCAAAATTGAATAGGCAACGGCAAACATTTCAATCGAGGAGAAACTTCCAGTCCCAGACCCCAGAAAGGGGAAAGTTGCCCATTTTTGTGATTTTTGAAAAATCTTTGAAAATAACTGAGATATTACAGAAAAACTGAAAATTTCAAATTTCAAATGAGGTAGTGGACACAGACACACTGTATTTTTACATAAATTTACAAGAACAATTTCAAAATAAGTTGCTTTACATTCTTTTTTTGCCCTTAATTACTTTCAAACAGTCTTCATAAATTTCAAATGCGTTCTTTAGTCACAAACAGAGGCAACTTTATCTCCACTTAACTTGAACTTTATCTGTTACGGAGATCCCACATCCCCAGGTACTTGAACCGCACTGTACACACCAGTATGTGTGAAAGTAAAACTTATACATTGTCCAAAATGTAATTCTGTAGCAGATTATACAAAGTACTCAGTCATGAAAGTAGATTATACACTAGAAAATAAAAGCAATCTATGATTGCACCCCCTTCATAAAAAATGAACGGTTTTTGTAAAAACAAAAAAATTGTGCAAATCAAAACCCTATCGCTGTCATGTGACATTCAAATATAGTCCAAATTTAGCGCAAAATGAATATAAATCTATACGAATGCATCCCATTCCAAAGTATGAGTCGACTTCCGGTAAAACCCTGAGTCGAACAAAACTGTTAATTGAATAAAGTTTTCCATACAATAATCCCTTCAACTCGTTGTTGAACACCGTGTATTCAAATAACACTATTTGTTTCAAATTATATCTTCTTTCTAAATTTAAAAATATGTGTTTTCAATATCAACTGAAGGTCTCAAGATTCCTTACGTTACGGTTTGAATTCACTGGCCTACAGTAAACTGTAATTTTGCTGCAGCTTTCGGACCATAAGATTACAATCGGTGGCTGAAGAATGAATTTGTTTTCCATTTGGGACCTGGAATTCGGTTGATGGGGCCGGAATATTGGGTTCGAGATGTATCGAAATGTGGCCAATGGCAGCTGTTGACGGCAAAAATTCCAACACTTACGTACGATATCTTTCCCCAAACCAACGTAATCTGGTTACTCTGTCTCCAATTGCCTGTGCAGCACGGCAACACTCGCAGAGGGTATACCACCAGATGAAAGCTTGGTCATCACTTGGGGTTCGCGAGATCTTTTCCGATGACGGCGAAGGAACCCGCTCCTATCGATGTGTGTTGGGCTTTCCATTTTCAAGTGAGGTGTGGGGTGCAGAGGTAGATGCAAATATGGAACTGGGCCGTGGGCCATTTTGAAGTGTTGCGAACAAACTTCACATTTTGTGATTTATGTAATTGCCGAGAAGATTCAAGTGGTTCGAATCTCTATGGTTTTCGAATAAGAACAACCTAACGGCCATAAAAAATGAACTTTTTTTGATAAGGTAAAAAAATACGCGTTAATTAATTAAAATATATGTTCGAAATAAGAAGCTGTTGTTTAGAATTCATGGGATAATAAAGCAATTAGCAAACAGTCCGTCGCGATTTCTTTCTATAGTAGTGTACGATGTGTGTACTTTTATATTTAATTTTATATCAATTGTTTGCATTGAAACTTGAGTCAAAATTTCCTCTAAACGGTAGGATTCGGTGGAAATTTAGGCAATATTGCTTATAAAATCATTATTTTTGTTAGAAACATGCACTATGCAGGCTTTTAGTGGCTTTTGAAAACGTCTATTTTGCACCAAAAAATGAACCTTCTCCTTCAGCAGTTAGGTAAACGATATTCAATTGAATAGGTGCGATGGTATTACTCGTAGTACGAAGCCCTACAGAGTTGTTTTAAAAGCAAAAATCGTAAAATAGCAATAAGAGATTAGAGAAATAGAAAAGATTCTGTAAACAGTGGTGAAGCGAGTTTATCAGTGAAAGTGCATGTATAACAGAAGCGAAATACGATGGAGAAAGTGGACTTATAAGTAATATAATACACCTTAAATCTAGCACGTGTTAAGTGCGTAGAGCACTCACCTATATAGAGTCCTAATGGAGTACGAACAGTTACATAAATAGTATTAACTATTATCCTATTCAAAAACGCAGCCGCAATTATTAACAAATCATGCAATTTAAATACCTCTGTGAATAGTGGTACCGCGCAGACCAGTCCTAAAAGGAACACCATATAATTGGCTAAGTATCGTGACAGTTACTCACCTAAAGTGTTAATACCTGTTGTTATGGTAAAAAAGTATGTATAAGTCTTAATTGTCCAGCTGTAGGCAGTGGCAGTGAACAGAAACATAACACTTAACTCACCTGTAACGATTTCTTTGATTATCGAATTACTTCAACAGCATAATTACCATAGCTGATAGTACTGGCCAAAGCTAAAACGATTAGTATCATAATAATTTTAACACTCTGACTTTTGTGATATTTGGAGAACAATTTCAGTGTTTCCAAAAAGTCTTTGGGTGTAATCGGCGTAATGGCAGGTTCGTCACTTTTTTTACACTTTACGCTCGATTCTTTTACGAAAAAGATCGCATATACTAATCCAAGCATCGTTACTGCGAAACATATTGATAGTACTATCAGATATCCCAGTTTGGATAAAAAGCTTCCTGTGAACAGATTGCCAATGCCGTAGCATATGTTGTAGATCCCTTGTATAATCGCTATCCTAAGAGTGCGTCTCCCTTCGGTCGTTATGTCAGTTATATAGGCAAATATAATGGTAAGGAAGAATTTCTCTCCCCCAAAAAGCGACAGTACCACTTCTTGCGCAACACCCAGCGCCTCCAGCGGACAGTAGTTCATGTACGCGACGCACACTATGCACCCACTCAATTCGACCAATTGTCCAGTTACGGAAAAAATCAGGAATCGTTTCCGAATTTTGTAATGATCGCTAATGGTCCCGAGAACTAACACAACGAACATTGTTATTACACTTGATGCGGATATTTGCCATGAGTGCATATCAGTTATGTGAAGTTGGATTTCGTTATTCTCCTTTGTAAAGTTTTGTTCTTCGAAAGTTCCATTTGTTATTGTATTGCACACTGTTCCATTGTAATTCGCCTTGACGTAACATGCTTTGTCGAGTTCCAAATTTTTTAATGTTGGATCACACATCGCACGAGCAGCCACATAGCATATCAGCAAGGGTTCTATAGTTATCGCATTTAACACCAGTTTGATTTTCATCTGCAAACAAAAATATAACAGTAAATATACTAACAAATTCAGTTTACGTACAACTGATTTTTGGCTAACCGTCATAGTTTGGCGTAACTTTTCTGTCAATAGGTAATGACTTTAACCATATTGCACCCATCGTGCACGTTTACGTATCTAAAAATGTACTTAAACTTTATGGCGTCGCTTATAACAAATGATAAATTCGCTATTTAATATAATACAATGGCTTCTGGCATTGTTGATGACGTTTATCATTTATTATAGGTAAATTCTCCAGCCTTGACGGTCAGATTTTCCACATAATGAGTATGTTATGATTTGATTTTGTGTATGTTATGCATTTATAAACACGATTCCTTAATGTACACTAATTATGCTGCACGTGGTTCACGGGACAGTTATACGAATCGTGTCTCTGGTACAAAACCAATATTTCATAGTTTCCATGAACAGCTACGTATAATTATTGTCATTCAAAAAAGAAATATTGTTTTCTCGAAAACGTCATGAAACCTTTATCTTCATGCCTACTTTTACATCAGAATCTTTGCGATGTCATTCAAACAACCGGTCAGTAAAATCTGACTCGAAAATTAAAATACTCGGCCTCGTACTTCAATGTTTCTTCGACCGTAATGTGTCATTTTCCTGACTTTTATGTAAATAACTATTAGGTACTTGCAGCTTACAAAACGCTATTTATTGTAACTATTATATTTTGAAAAAAAGGTACTACAATGACGCAGTAACATATTTGCGGTTGTAAACATACAATTATGTTTTTACATAAACGGAAACAAGAAATACATTTTGGGGGTTTACTGTCAGTGGGTATCACTGCAGTAAACCACCAAAATATTTTTAAGTAACATGCTATTTCTGCATCTCGTCTTGAACTTACAGCTTTTACAAGAATAGGCATTGATTTAAAGAAAAAAACAGATTGTGCCCGATTATGTTACTCTTATTGAAGTTTAGTGACACCAATCATGAAAATGCCGACAGCACACTTCAATAATACGTACAAGTTTCTTTGTACGCAAATTAAAAACATTGTGCTAATTTTGGTGCATTACCCTAGATGGGAAAAATGGCTATTGTGTATCCGTCCGTTTTTCAAAGTAGTTGCTACTGGGATAGTGAAATGTACTGCATTTTTTAAATTTTTTGAAGTATTGGTTGTACTTCGTAAACATTTTTATGAGAGGTAGTTGTAGGACATTTTCGGGAGAGAGGGGGAAGGTTAAGATCTAAAAAAAGAGTAAATTGAATGCTGCAGTAGAACCATTGAACCTCTAAGGTTTAGATCCAGTCAATATCTTGCAGTAGTTTTGAGCAAGCCCCTTGTCTCCATTTTTAATAAATTTTATATGCTTCGTGAGCAAAGGGAGGGGTTCCTCTTATTTGGCTACAAAAAGGTACGGGATATTGTATCACAAACCCAGCACAATTTTTGGGGTTTATAGTTTAACAAATTGATATGCCTCTGCTTCTCAAGTTTGAGGATTATGTTTTATTCCTGCAAAAAAACTAACATAGGTATATAGCATCATTTACAATTTAGGAATTTAATTACGCCCCCAAATCACAGAACAATTCAGTTATACACAGTCCACAATATAGTGCTAAAATTAAAAGGTACAAAATACAAAATAGGTATGTGGTAGATCCTAATAAACCGGCACTTCGAACACCTAAAATACATCTCTTCCTTTCCTTATATATAAGGGTGAACAACAACAAACAATTTATTTTTTTAATAAAAATGGTAGCTAACATTTTATATTCTGTGACAATGATTAATAATATAACATATACCGATTAGAAATAAATTTTTAAGTTTTCAAAAATTAATAACAATTGTACATTTAGCGTATTACTTATTTATATTTATGCACTATCCATGAATAATTTCTTTTGCGCGGCAAGATGACTTCCCTTTTTTGTCCTGAATTCAGTTGTAAAAATAAAAATTTGTTGATGTCGATGTTGGTCCTCTATTTTTTAAGGGGTAAATAATCAAGGAGATATCAGTTCATATTGAAAAGAGAAGTAGTAGTAAAAGATTTGCCGCTTTCTGTCGCTATACATAATATTGGAAATTAAAAAAATTTCCCTAAGTTGATGTGAAGTTTGCGGGACTCCACCAAAAGGTATTCTCAAACGGAAAAAATAAATAGTCGAAATTTTTTAAAATATATCCACCACTTATCGTATTACCGGGAAAACCAAAAATTTCGCCCATGTTTTGATACAAATATTTATTTTCGTGATGTCTCGCTAACTTGACTTGACATGAGCAAAACAATGACACTTTTTTTTAAATAAAGTTGTCAGTGTTGCCCATTAGTTATCGTATCCCGCTTAGGAATGTATAGCTAAAAAGGGACAATGGAACATTTTTTGTGATAGTTAAAATGGAAAAGTGCAATCGAATTTCTTTAAAAAGGTAGGCTGAGAATGTGAAAACCGTTTTCTCATATTCTCAAGGATAAAAAAGGACATCAAATTTAGAAAACTACGTAGACTGTATTTATATCGGTATTGTTTCTGTTATATAATATATCACGACGTTTCCTATGTGTATGACCCGCTAAGTGAAAAAATGCCTGTGTGTCATTTGTTATCTATTAGGCTTTATGGAAAGCAAAGGACACCTGTACCTTTTGCTTTCGGTCGCATTTCTCGGAAGAGATCATTTTTACGAAGACTTACTGATACTGATAATTTTAGATGGGAAATATACACATCAAACATGTAATTTATTCATATTTGATTTAATCTAATTAAACATAGTGGTACGTTTCTGGTGGTTTGAAGGAATTGTGTTCATATGCAGCGCTACTTGTATATAATTTGTGATAGTAGTATTGTACGTTCAAGCCGTCAAAGGGAAGTATTATTACAGTATCATTAGGGTTAATAAAAATAATCAAATTTCTTTTGTTTTGGTATTGATATCTTGATAACGTCCACCACTTGAACGAGGAATAAGTGGTGGCTGTATTAACAAATGTATTAAAACTGCAGTTTTTCGTTTTTCCTCCCCAATTTATTTGTGAAAATCGAAATTGATCTTCTTTTATTTTTTTTATATTCCTGATATTTATTATTTATTTATTTACTTATTTATTTATTTATCTATTTAATCCTTTCAATTACTGGTATAGTCGTATTCCGTCTAGCCTATAGCTTAGCTGAAACTTGATACTTCCTAAACAAATTTTTTGAAGCATCCTGATAATATAATGAAAAAGGTTTTATACTCGTAAATAAAAAATTATTTCCAAAGTAGATATAGGTAATCATATCCATTTAGTGCACTTTTCTCCTTGGGAATATGGGACATGATTTATAAGTATGATTAGTACTTATTCAATGATTACGCTTAATTAAAAAATTAAACGCAAAAATCAGGCGCAAGAACTCGAGTCCGATATAGCCCGGTTAAGAAAAATTGCGTATCCTACGGCTCCGGAAAGCTTTATAGAGCAGCCGGCGATACAGACGTTTGTCGATGGTGTTCGCGATGTGGAAACGCAACAAGACAAAGATTTGTTCTTTGAAGAGCTGCCAACAGAATTTCTTGAAGATACAAATGTGAAAAATTAGTAGATTACATACCGAGCTGGGAAATGGTTCATTACTTACGCCGAGGGCTTAATTGCCGAACTGAACTTCGGGCTCTTGTTATATAATAATTATTTATACGTGAATAATTAAGGAAATCAAAATGTAGAATGTTTTGAAACAAATTGCTTAAAATGTTAAAGATGTCAAAGGTTGTCACTCCTATACGGTGGTAAGTGCTTTCGGAAAATAACCATATACGTCAATAGACAGCCAATATGAATTACAAATATATGGAAATTAAGAAACAAAGTAATTAAGATTACTGAAGTTAATTGCTTAATTAAGTTGCAAACATCTTTACAGACAGTACTCTTAAAATAAGGCACATTGAAGCGGTTGCCATAATGGTTACAATAGTGTTTTTGTTATTGAGTGATACCTCGATTAACAATATTAAATAATATCAGTAAATTTAATTTGAACGAAGGAAACCGTATGAGTATATGAGAGGGACGTCTTACCCCAACTGAACTTGATCACTCCATAATATTTTTTACAAACTTAGTATTAGCAGTTAACAAATGAGGTTGGTCCCCAAAATGGCATTTTTTAAAAATTGTTCTCTAAAAAACGATGTCCAGAAGGATGTCACGTCTTTGGATAGGAAATTCCTCCCCAAGGTGGTGCGAAGAATTAGCGAAAACGCCGAATAATTTTAAAAATTCGAAAAAAATTCGACTGTAACTCTCGACCTGACAATGAAAGCGATCACGATTTTATGAAATTTCCTGTGCATGTTTTTTAGGGATTTAAGAGAATACTTAATCCCTGCTGCTCAAACATCTGTGTATGCTTTTTTTCCCAATTTAATGTACGCACTTTGTCATGCTGTCGTGTCATGCACCAAAGAACACCTTTCTTAAAGATCCATAGACATCACTTTAACACGTCACTGATAAGAGAGTGAATTATATATGGCATCTTGCACTTTAGGTTAGTAGGTAATGGCAGCATCCCATGCCAAACTTTTTTTAAGGGATTTCAGAAATGTATTTAAATTTCGTATGGTTGTGCTAAACTGGATGAGAGGCATCAGCATATTATTCTTCTAATTTGGCCCCCCTCTTAAAATGTGGCTTGTGACCTACCTGAGTCAAGAACCATTTAAGAGTAATGGTAGTTTCACTTTTAGTTTGACAAATTAATATGGAGGAACCCCATAACCAGAGGCGTTAAAAACACACTCAACCAGGACATTATTCACTTAAAATATAAAATTTGCACCTCACAATGTACTCTCATCTCATGACGAGATTAATTTATGTTAGGTAAATTAGTAAATAAATTAGGAAAACAATTTCCGTGAACGCCATTAGGTATAATTAAGCCTCTCGCTAGGTATACATTTATATTATTTTCTATTCTCACATCATCGTTAGTTATGAATCGTCTGAATAATCTCGCAAGGGCCGGAACCAGAAATCCAGCTACCAGAGTATCATTTTTGGACGCGTGTAATTGACTTGTTTTCTTGGATGGTATAAAAAGTATCACGTGAATCGTAAAAAAATAGTTCATCGAAATAAAATTCCATAATTCATTTAGAGGACAAATTGTGAGAAAACACCGTTTTTTTCATCATCTCTACGTACAATTGCTTTTTTCTATTGTTAAATTGTACGGTTAAAAAATGTTTAAGAAAAGTCAATGATACTATATAGAATTATAGAAGGAATATCCCTCCGATTTTCCCTCTTAAGCCTCGAGTAACTAAACTTGGTGAGCTCAAACTAGGAATACAATTATTTTTGACTGAGACTGGGTGCACTATAATTTTGACGGACCAACGCCCCCCACGCATAGCAAAGTTTCCCAATAACGAATTTGATGCACTTTGGGAAGAAGGAAATGGTTGTCTTTGATTAACGGACTCTTACCGCATGCAGTGCACTTCTGCAGTGGAAATATTCTTTTCCCGTTTCCACACAGGGTTGGAGTATAGACTTGAAAACATACAAAAGAAAAGGTCAAATACGATGTTATCTCAAACGTTCACCTAACGCATCCTGTTACACCAGCCAGATCTCCAGAGCAATATAACATAACATGTATTACTTACTGTACAAAAAATATCTGTTTAGTGCTACAATTAAGTAAAACAATCATTTTTGATGATTACAAATAGAAAATTTCTTTTGAAACTTAGGTAGTATTACTATATGTGAAGTAACTTCAATTATTAGCTTGCAGGAGCTTGCAGGTGGTATATTGTGTACCAACCACAGCAAAGGAGTAATATTCCACCAACGATAAAGAAGTATAAGTTATCATCTGCAATAATAAAAAGTTACTTACATGGTCGAATTTAATGTACCTTTACAATGAGTTAACCGATTTGCTACACATTTCCTTTTTTCATGCCTGCGCTTCTGTAATCTCTCTTTTTCCTTTGCCATACGACGCTGTTCCCGCCGGGATCTGGACATTTTTACTGCAGATTGTGACTTGACTTTTACAATAAACAATTAAGTAACGTCAAAATCAAACAAACGCTCAATTATTTTTGAACTCAAAATCAATACTGTATGAGGGTGATATTTTGTTATAACTTATAAGACTAGAATGATACCACGATACACTTTCTAGGATACTTGGCTTCCTCCTTTTTCCTTTTTCTGTCACCTTGGCTAACATTGCCATTTTCAATTACTTTTTCACTTAGGTTTCTCGGCTGTTTTAACTTCTTCACTTTTTCTCTCATCGTGACATTATTACTCCTCAGTTGGGATTGTTGTCCTCGACACTTTAGGTTAATTCGGTTTCATAACATTTTGTCTCCGTAGGTTCCATGAGATGTTTTAATTTATTCGAAGCCCTTAACTCAAAATTCTATCCTAATCCTGCATTTCTTTCTGTATATTTATCACTACTTTGTTTCTTGAGGTGTTTATCGCATCCTTGCTTCTTCGATTATTGTGTTTGTCGAATCTTCCTCGTTTCTGAAATTTGGAGACAACGCCCGGTTAATTATGAATGAAGGGAAAACTGCTCACAGCTCCCCCGATTTTCGCGGTTCCAGCGGATTCTTCATACTTTTCCTTCTATTGCGCCGCCTGCTCCAACGTCTTCGGTTTCTCCATCTCTGTTTACCTGTTTTGTCTCCCTGGATCTTCATCTAACCTTTCATATTTTCTTGTTATCTTTCCACGTCTGTTTCGCATTCTTCCAAAGCTACGCATATTTTCTTGTAGATTCATTCGACTTCCTCCTCTTCTTTAGTTGTTTAGGCTTTTTTATTTCCTTCACTTTGCAAAACTATTCCGTATTTCTGATCTCCTTGTGGAGTTTCCAAGATTTTTTTGCCTGAATAAAATTTTTTTGTTTTTTATACTCATGTTGTGGTTGTTGTTTGTTATTATTGTCGCCAAGAAATAAGCAATGAGGTAATTTATAACAAATAACAGACTTTCGAAGCAAATCTCCCAAACTAGTCACGCACTACGCTATGTAGGCAATACATTGTAAATGGAAAAGGATGGGGAGGATAGTTCGCGATTTCCTCAGTTTCCTTGACAGTTTCTACGCTAAATTGTCAAATTATGTGGGCCGAACATCTGGAACAACCCTTAGTTATTTTTATACTGCTCGACTTTTTTTAATTCTTTCGACTGTTTGGGCTTCCCACGACTGGTTTGACTTCATCCTCTTTGCTTGCAGTGGGTTCTTCAAGTTCCTGGACTTTTTCATATTTCTCAGCCTCATCAATTGCTTCAGCTATTTCGTTTTTTGTCGACTTTAGACCAAAGTTCTCGACTCCCACGGCTTTCCCAAGGCTATAGGCATTTTTGGTTCATTGTGTTCTCGAATCCCCTCGTGTTCATAAGCAACTTGGCTTCCACAATTCCTTCTTCTTTATCGCATTCTTCCTATACTTCGATCTGTGTCATATATTCCATACCCACAGCTCTCAGGGCCTTCACCTCCATCTCCGTAATAAACTTTTCTTAATTTCCATCGGATAGTTTGCACGTTCTGTGTACTTTGCACATGAAACGGTTTGCTTTCTTCAATTTAATCACTTTCTGAGGTGGGAGACACTGCTCTGTTAATTGAGAACACGAGCCGCTCATTTTCATTTCCAGTTCAACTTTATATTTTTCCATCTACTTTAACTCCTTTGATTTTTAGGGATTCATTGCCTTCCTCGCTTTTTAATACTCAATCGGCTATGGCGTCATCCTCAATTTCTATTTGTTTAGTACCTTCAATTTCTTTGGTTTCTTGGGTGTCCTTGCCTATTCGATTTGTTCTTTTTGTAAATTTGTAACTTTTTCGGCTGCTTCTACTGTTTCTGCAACTTCGACTTTCCTCACAAAACAGCTGCATGGTGATTATTAAAAATCTTTTCTTCCAAAATAAAAGTATCGTAATTCAAAGTAAATCAGCAGACATGGCACCACCGCATGTTGGGATTTGAACCACCAACAGTTGATTTGTTTATTTTTTATACATAACCTTTAAAAATGAGTATTTTACATTGCACAAATAATGGTTGGTTTATATCTCATTGTGAGCTTATAAACAATTTCTATATTAACGTTGATAAGGGCGAGAGCCACAAGACCTTCAAGCTAAACCCGAACCTTTTCAAAATAGTTTCTCCATTTCAAGATCTGACCAAAAAATCGACCAGAAAGCGTAAAAACGAATCGCACTCCTTAGATCACCATAATTTACATCAATGTATAGTAATTACCACCGCAATTAGCTTCAACAGTAAACCTAATTACACCAATTATTGCAGGAACACGTCCAGAAATCCTACCAGCAGTTTGTTGTTGAATTATCAAGATTCCTTCTTCCGAAAGTAAAGGAATTCTCCAAATCTGCTAATATTGAAGCTCTTGAAACGTCTGCGACAGTTTACGCAGAATCTGGAAGGCCGAACATTGCAAATATTACAGGCGGAAATTACGACCAGGCCAAGCTTGTCGAAATAAATGATTCTTGTTTTTTGTTTCCTAACAATTGCAGGTTTTTTTGTAAAGATGTGGCGGAAATCAACGATCATTTAATTGATGAGCAATTCGACTTGATTGTGTTGGACCCGCCTTGGTGGAACAAGTATGTGCGTCGTAAGAAGGCGAAAACTAATGATGGATATCAAATGATGTTTAATGACAACATTAAAGAGTTGCCCGTGGAGAGATTGTTAGGAGAAAGTGGGACCGTTGTTGTTTGGTGTACAAATTCAAACCAGCACTTAGAGGCGGTACAAAACGAATTTTTTCCCAAGTGGAAGGTTAAATTTGTTGCACGTCTGTTTTGGTTAAAGGTACCTATCTCTGTTTTTGTGGAAAAGTTCATTGGGTTTCCTATTTCAGGTCACACAAACTGGGGAAACGGTGTGCAAATTTTCAGAACCGCCTGGCAAGCAACCATTCGAGCAAATAATCATCGGTTCCAGAGATGAAGGACCAGATTGGCAATTTTTCAATGATAAATTGATTGTTAGTATTCCTAGTGCATTACATTCCCATAAACCCCCGCTTATTGGTAGGTACTTATTCCAAAACATCCGTGCAATTAAAAATAATCTGTGTTTTAGAGATTTTGAAGACACATTTGCCAGAAGATCCGAAATGTCTAGAAATATTTGCCAGGTATTTACTTCCAAATTGGACCAGTTGGGGACTTGAAGCGATACGTTTTCAACATTTATCTGTTTATGAAAAATTCTAACTAATAAATAGCAAATAAAATTACATTTTTTTTCTTTCATAATTCAAACCTGTGTAATGATATGAAATGAAATCGTAATTTACGGTAGTGCAAAATTTTTAAAGGGTATAGAGTATGATGTGTTGCCTACCTCACTTAACTTTTGACTTTGGTCGCAGATAACAAGTATACATTCATATGAAGCTTGTTACTAATAAAAACAATTTTTGCATTAAACTGCAAAGTAGTACTTTAACTCCTGAGGGGTTCAAAAGACCTGAAGAAAATGTAAACCGCCAAACTTTATAAAAGAATTCAATCTTATGTTTCCGAGGCTTTATTGCTTTTTAACATCCGAAAATAGTTCTGCAGAATAATAACTTGACAAGAGCTAGATCCCAAATTTGTGGAGTGCCTCAGGGGTCTATTCTAGGGCCGTTGTTTAATTTATATACCCAAATTTGCATACTTCGATTCAGAACTGTCTCATTTTAGCATTGCAAATGCTTATGTTGTGTATGGGTATGAAGTTACCAGTTTCATCAAGCACAAAAGAAGACAGATGGTGTCGCGTCAAGTGTTGATTGTACCGTACTCCGCCGCAATCGGTAGATTATAAAGAAAAGTCGCGGATACTTGTCGATACCGAACTTACTTAATAGTGCGCAATTGTTTTGTTAATTCCAATCTATAATTGTCTCCTTTAATAGGATTACAAGCATATTATGTTATGAGGCTTATTATTCAAAAAGTCTACGTTCCCGGGTGAATAAGGTTTATTTGTGTTTTACGTTATACGGTTATAATTTCCAATGTTTCCGATGGTTGCATGGATTGCGAAATCTGCAAATTTTGTATGGAGATGACGGTCACAGTTTTTACATTAATAATCTAACGAGTGCGAGGGCCGAAATAAAAATTAACTCCGACTTTTTGTGAACCATGCAGAACACCGAATTGTCTCACTATAAACCCTCGTAAATCAAATTTAATGTTATTTGGACGCAATAGAGTGTACGATAAAGGCATTTCTAGGCTAAGTATAATTTTGAAAGACACCGTTCTCAAGTATGAGGACGTAGTCAGGAATCTAGGTGTTGTGATGGATCGTCAGTTAAAATTTGAAAAACACAATAAAAGTGTTAGTAATCAATAAAACACATTTACTTAAAAAAGTGGAAATTTTTTATCGTAAATACGTAAACGCCACACAATTGTGGTGTTTGCCCAATTTAAAAAAATATAGAGTTGTGTATAGGTAAATGCAATTTTTTCGTGGAACTTAAAGAGATATTGCAGGCGTCGTCCAATACTAAAATAGAAAATAAATAAAGCCATCGTTTAATGCCCATGTCCGTTTGTAATTTTGGAAGACTTGTTCGGCCGATATCCGTAAGGATTTTTTGTCTGCCATCTCCAAAAGTCGATACCTAAAAAATATGGTTGTAAAACCAATTTGACAATTATTAAAGATCCATACACATTTCCTCAAGAGTGTGTTTTGCTTTCCATTCCAGTTCTTGGTCGGCTAAATCTGCATTCGCAAACATTGCGGTAATATCACCCTCCCTTTTCTCCATTATTCGGAAAGGGACTGCAGCTCCAGTTACCTTTTCAAAAGTCTTCACTAACTCGAGTACGGTAACACCTCGCCCAGTTCCTAGGTTGTATGCCTAATGTAAACATACTCAATTGTAGAGACTGCACGTTTAACATGGCAGGTGTCATTTGAAAACGTCTGTTTCGCTTTGTGTAACTTTGGCAAATCAAAGTTATCGGCGAAAAATCACAATTTCAGGCGTTTTGGTAAAGGTGACATACCTGCAACACTTGCCTTTAGATGTTGGTGTTCCCTACATAATTTTCTAAGAGCTGCGACGTGGCCTGTCGCCAAATCCATTACGTGAATATAGTCCCGAACACCTTTGAAAACACAGTCATGGGGTTTTATTATATAGCAAACCTCTACACGTACATACCTGTTCCGTCACTAGTATTATAATCTCCTCCAAATATGGTTAAAATTGGCTTATGTCCAATGGCAACTTGAGCAATATATGGCATAATATTTGAAAACGCTTTAGTAGGATCTTCCCCAATTTCTCCCGACGGATGCGCTCCTACAGGGTTGAAGTAACGTAGACAAATTATGTTCCATTTCTAAAAAATAATGTTAAACAGACGTAAAACAAGTATTAATTTCAATAACCTTATTGGAATGCGAAATATCTGCTAACATTTCTTCGATGAAATACTTCGTTTTTCCGTAGACATTTGTAATGTTTCCCCCTATTTCATGATCTTCCGTAATGGGCAGCTGTTTGGGCTCGCCATAAATTGTACAGGAACTCGAAAATACTAATTGATAACATTCGTGCCTTTCCATTACCTTAATTTAATTATAACTACAGTTTTTAACCATTTTTATAATATACCTAAGTATACACACCTCCAGAAGGTTTAGCATTCCTATTAGATTGTTTTTGTAATATAATAAGGGGTATTCCATTGATTCTCCCACGGCTTTAATGGCAGCGAAATGGATCACGCAATCGATTTTGTGCTAAAACAAACACTTGTTTAGTTTACTGTACAAATGTTGATCTATAGTCGGTGTGAATGTAAGACGAGTGCGCCAAAGTCTTCATTTTCAGGCTCACTCAAAGAGCGAAAAAGGCCTCCAAGACCACAACGCGCCTCAACGCTATTTAATGCAGCCTATAAAACCGTAAGTCAATTTCATGCATAGAAATAGGGTGGAAAAGGCATTAACCAAATTTGCTTCTTTCAGTTACATCACACAGTATTTTATAAAAAAAATTCTTATTTTGAATGCGAATGAAAATTCACGCTACGTCTCCAAGTCTCAAAATTTTTCGTTTCTTATGCGCAAAACCATAACACACAGAAGAATGGAACTAGAAGCATTATCCACCTCCTTGGAACCTTTATTTTATTTATAAAAAATGTTTCCTTTGTTCTTTCTCACACTCAATTTCTTTAGATCACCTTAGGTACATGTTACAGCATTTAGATATAAAATTATTAAACATGTGCTTTAATACAAAAAAATCTGCTTTTCAATCATTTTTTTATTTTCAAGTGTCATAAGGTGAAAACCGTTCGTCTCTTTGTTTCACCATAGAGCAAGATCGTCTTTAATCGCTTCGTTAAGGGTGTAATGGATACGTTGAACGTTGATGGGCAGATAGGAAAAACGAAAATTTTTGTTGGCTCAATGATTGGTGTAATCGAGGTATAATTTTCCAGCTCGACAACTACAATGATTTCCTCAACAATAAAAAGCGTCATAATATACCCAATCATTGCTTATTTTGAAAATAGAATCGTAATTTGTACACATCATGATAGTCATTATAAACCATTTTTTACTCAAATTATTTATTATTGTTTTTTAAGGTTCCTGGAATTGAATTGTGAGAGAATTCATTATCATGCGAACATTAATCGTGTTTCGTTAGAAAAATAGTATGCATATTTTTGGTACCTGCGACTCACGTTTTACCAATGTACACAAGCATTTTTATTTTCCATCGCCAGTTTCTGGAATTGAATTGCAAGAGAAAGATATAATTAACTCGTTATATACCTTTATTTTTAACCTCCGCGAGATAGGTGGCTATTGCGATCACCTCTTTGAACATGTTAAAATTTCATCAAATGTCGACATTTTAGATCATTTTAAGCAACTTTTAAAGAATAAAATAAAAAGAGTAAAAAGCATGTTGTAGTATGCGGGTTTTTAGTGACGTCATATACAACTGTTTCTTCAAATAGTAACCCACATTTTTAGCGCATTTTCCAACGCCGCTTTCTCTGTCCGTCCGTCTGTCCGAGGCTTCAGTTTTCAAGATATTTAGTTCGTTCCTTTTGAATTAGGAGCTCTGGCACCTGAGTTAAGGAAAATCTTGGCGTTAAACTGGGCATACGTAAACTGCGCAATCTCCTTTCCTATTTATACAGATATTTTTTTGAAATTTTAAAAATAGTTGTCTAGTCAAGATAAGCATGTCGCATATTGTAAAACTCAGATTTGGGCATGCCCAGACTGCGCAACTGTCAAATTTCTTATTTATAGAGAAATTTTTGATTAATTAATTAGTAGTATATATTAATAAATATTATTTAATTAACTTTAATTCAATGCATCGATTTGCACTTAGTAAAGGGTGCTACTGTTTCAGTAAGACCGGTCCATAATATAAAAAAGTTACTTCTGCGCAGAAGAATACGACTTATTACCAGTTACCGATCTGAATGTTAATAGGTGCCGTCTCCAAGTGGTAAGTAATACGCCTGCAAAAATGTACGCAATTTGTGTATTGTTATCTAATGCATTCCCTGAGCCATGAATCGCGATCTTGAGTAAGATCATAAAGCTTTTAATTAATGGAAAAAGCTATTTCTTTGTTGATGTAGATGCAATTTCACTATTCTGGATGGCCCGAACGCTTTCCGAGGGAGAAAGTCTCTTTTAGGTATGAGTTTGCCATACGTCCCGAAATAGCGGGATTTGTCGCGATTTTTTAACAAAATTATACGTCCCGCTAAAATCAGATCCCGGATTAGGTCCCGATTTCTATGCGTGCATACCAACATGGCTAAATATCAAATTTAAAAGTACACTTTTAAAAGACATTCGTTCATCGAAAAAATACGGTTGATGCAAATAGTTTGGTACAATACGGTTATATAACTTTCATTAAGTTAATAGAAAAATTATTAAAAAATAATAATAAAAATATACAAACATGTATGTATTTCTTTATTTTATTTCGTCCCTATTTTACGATGACGGGACGCCTGTTCCTGTGGCGACCCTACTTCCAGGGCGCATTTCTTGTTAAATGTTTGTTGCGGATTAAGGTATAAACCTAATAATCCTTATAGTGTCGTAAAATTTTTTTTTTTTTAATTTAATTTGTGTGCCTCGACTACTAGTGGCCATTGGCACGTCTACATGAATTGCTTGTTCCTCTTAAAAAAGGGCGCTAATGGACCAAAACTTGAAAGCTAAAGGAGAACGCAACGTTACTTTCATTTAAAGATTCGGATTTACAAAGGGTCACCCACATTAAGAATCTTAACTTTTAAAGTAACCGAAATCGTTGAGTTAAAATCGCTATTCAACGCTGCACTTGCAATGTTCATTTTTGGTGTGTTTTTGTTTCTTTGTACTGAAATTTGTAAAACAAAAGATATAATAATGAAATCTTATAAACACTTAACAATACAATGATGACAGATGACTTAATGACTATTTTGTCTGAAAAACTATCTCGATATATTGAATTTCTTAAAAAGATAATTCAAGCTCAAGAAAGTCTGCAGCTTTATTTAGTGTGATTTTATTTTAGTACAAGTAGGTACCTAATGTTTTTTTCCGAAATGATGTTGATGAGTGATGGCATAATAAACTGCCACATTAGAACTGTACCTAAATGTAATAGAATAAAGAAGAAATACTTATTTAACTATATAAACCGCCTGTTAAGGAGAACCTTATACCAAAAATAATGGTTGGCGTTATTTAACAATATTTATTTATGATTACAAAATTGGGAGAATTATCCAAACTTTCATTATGCGTTCCTATAAGCAAATACCAGGTCATGAGCGTACACCGTACAAGTAATGCGATCTGTTCTAGCAACAATTCCATACCAAAGGTGTTTTAACGAAGTTTTTTTATATTACTGAATTACTAGGTCGTTTTTTATTTGTAAAATGTACGGCTAGGCTCAGCAAAAATGCAGTGCGATATAAAGCAAAAATTTTCTGCACAAATTGAAAGACTATCAAAACATGAAACGGAAGTCTAGGGATAAAACTACCGTTGTTAAAGGTCGTTGGTTTTTTTAAAAATATACACTATTTTATTATGCATGCATAAATGTATTTTTGGATTTTATAGCGACAGCGTGATGTCACTGTGATAGGTAATACAATTGAATTTATATAAATTATAAAGGTCTAGCCATTGTTTAAATTAAAGTATTTAAACAATGGTCTAGCTCTACAGATCTATAGGTACAGTAGAGTAGAAGAAGCAAATTACAATACAACACAATGGTGCATATTAAGCATATTATTATATCACTATTCAACGGCCTTCATGGTAAAATAACTATTTTTGTGTTTAAAAATAGAAATGTTAACAATTATGTTAATATTTTAATCGTGTACGTAACAAACTGATAAGTGATAATGCCCCTACTCGCACTAGGTTCCAAAAATCATGTTCATAAATGTATATAATATACAAATTACAAACTACACATATTGTACGGTTACTAATCCGGATCTTACCTACTAAACCACAGATGCTCATTACAAACCGAGTATGAGGAAACCGTTTTTGTTCTCAAAGTGCAAGATGATATCATTCATTTGATATACGTTTTAAGTTAAATTTAAAGTAATAGATTTACCTTTTCAAATATATCGAAAAGAGCGGTGCGATCCAGTAAATCACATTTGTAAAAAGTAACAGTCTTCCCTGTAATCTTTTCCACCCTTCGCAATGCGGCCGACTCCCCATTTGGCTCATCTACGCTATTAACAAAATTGTCGATAACAATTACTTCATAATTAGCGTTTAAGAGTTCGACAATTGTGTGACTTCCTATATATCCCGCACCCCCAGTCACAAAGACCGTTTCAAATTGTGCCATTCTAAAATCGCAACGTTAAGATTAATAATTACTAAATTGTTTAATTACTTACAAGTTAATCGCCGCGCGCGGTTTTACTTGAAATGCGACTGCTAATGCAGACGGTTCTAAAATAAATACACAAAATTAACTTTACGCATTTACGGTTAGAAATGGTCATTCACCCTGATGATTATTAAAAATGGTAGAAACACCGTGGATTTTAACGAGCTCACTTTACGTGGCTCTCTACAAGCGAGCCAATATATCTAATGATGAGAATGATGGGAAAAAACACGACGGCTAAAAGCAAGAATTTACCTTGATGCCCTTGACCCTCAACGTGTATAGGTAAATAACTATCTTGCGCAAAACTTTTACTCTTTACTCAAATTTCAGATTAGTGGTATGTGGACGTCATTCACCATTACTAACCGGCATAAATACAATTATGAATATAATAGTGAGTTTTTCAGAAATTTCATGTGTAATTTTGTTATGTAATGGTTTTCATTATAGGTACTAAATACGAAAATATGTTTTTCTACGGTGTTGCAACACAATATTATCTATATACAATTATCTGATCAACAATCTTCCCCACTTGTAAAAAGTTGTAAATTAAAAATACCTTGTACTATAAATTGTGGGCCAGCTAAAAAAATTAATTCACTAATTGAATTATTCAAAAGCAAATGCATTCTAAAATCAAAATCAGAAAGAAATTGTTTTTGCTAAAACATTATGAAAGTTTGTTCCCAAATTATCGTTCAGCAAAAAAATTACACTAATGTTCAGCAATGTTTCTTTTCGGGAATGCATCGTATTATATTGTAATTACAATTACAACCCTTAATTTGCAAAGAGCGCGCACCTTTACTAATTCAAAAATAGTCTGGTGCGTGAATAACGATTTTGTTTTGGTGAAAATACATGTGGTCGCTAAAATGTATCAAATTCGTGTCTTGGGGCAGCAATATATTGCTCTTGGTCATTTTTCCAACAATCTTGGTGCAAGAATAACGATTTTGACATGTTTTGATCAAAATACGTTTGGCTTCGAAAAAAGAATTTAACATATTTGAATCAAACACACGCAAATGTGCATTTGTGCTTTTTACTCTAAAACTTTTGACCTAGACCACAAAGAAGAGTTATATTGAATTGTTACACATCTGAGAGTCATAGAGAATAATCTAGCGTCCGATCTCGATGCATGACCTAGGGCATTTCTATTATATTGAGCCCACAGTTTTTCCTGATGTTCGCGGTTCACTCGAACTCCTACTTTTGTTCCTGCTAACTCAGCTTCCTGAAAAATAGCGGTATAGCGCCCTGTCTAAAGTACCCGTACACCACAAAATTTCAACACGATCGACCACTTTTAAAAAGACTTATACACGGGCAGAAATTAAAAGCTACAAAATGGGGTTGTGTAGAATAAAAGTCGTTAAAATAACCAACAAAAACACAAAACCTTCCCCATACTAATTTAAACTAATCGCTTTTACGTCTTGTCTATTAAATTAGTATGGGGCAGGTTTTATGTTTTTGTTGGTTATTTTAACGACTTTAATTATAGCGCACACAGACGAACGAGCGGACAAAAGAACAAACCACCATACAAAACTAAAGGGTCCTTGATTAGAAGTAGGCATATCGCTTCTCACAGACAGGTAAGGTAAGTTAACAAGCAAGCAATAAACACTGGGTGAAAGACGGAACCAACACAAATCCTTATGGAAATAAACAAACTGCTCAACATTCTTCTTTTGGTAATAACCTACGTCTCTAAAAATTGTAACACTTTTGTAAAACATGAAACTAATAGGTTTTTCTTCTTACTGCCACCGAAAAAATCATACCTCTTTCTATCTCGTAGACCATTTAGCAGTGGGGTTCTCCTTCATTCTATAGCATTCGCTGTTCACAAAAATACGAATCTGTAATCATATAAGGAAAAAATAAAATTATTATTAGGAAAAAACATAGAAATGACAAAAACTATAACAATGAGAAACATTGATATTGCATATAAAGTCGAATCTTTTCATAAGAGAAAATTAAAATTGTCAGAACATGGCGGAAAAGGTAATAAAAAACACAAACTAGTAGTAAAGTTTTTCTTCTTTCCACCACCAAAAAATACCATTTCCATCTCGAAGATCCTTTGGACTACTGTCCTGCCTCATTTTCACATATGCTGTGCACACAAAAATTGAATCTGCAAGATAAACGTAAAATTATTGCCAGAAAAGGGCATAGAAGAGTAATAAGAAACATGGGGATTTCTTCTTAACAGCCAGAAAATAGAAATTCTATTCTTGACGATGCTTTTGCAGTAACGCTCTGCCTTATTTTGACATACGCTGTGCACACAAATTTAAATCTGCAAGAAAAAAGTTTAAATTATCGCCAGAAAAGCGCATAACCAGGATACAAATTAAAATTATCAGAAACAAAGGTATTCCTTCTTACCACTACCGAAAAAATACCAATTACATACTCGGCGATCCCTTAGCAGTGGCGTCTTGCCTCATTTCTACATACGCTGGCCACATACAAATTTAGTCTGTCTGCAAAGAAAACTTAAAATTATTGTCAAAAAAACGCATGGAAAGAATACAAACTAAAATTATAAGTAAAATGAGCCCTGTCTATTATTTTACAGTTTCAAATCAAGAATATTAGAAGTGTCATGAATTTACGGAGAATTACAGAGAAAATTTCTGTCGTTTGGAGCTTTTGAAATGTTGGGGCCCCGGGACTATAACCCCCATTGGAGCTCTTCATGTGCTTTTGTTTTACTTTTCCGTCTAAACCAACATATTGCTGTGTAAAAGGAGTTCTTCAACCTTAAACCCTCCTTTAATCTATACAATTTCAAGAAAATCAAATGTGTACTTAGATTGTAGTGTTTAAAAGAATAGAGACCGATTATTTTTAAACAATGTCGATGTGGACGTTGTTGTTTTGGGTCCAGTCACCTGAAGTAAATACGGGTCGTTAATCACTAACCAAATGTTCATTTCAATTCATTTAATAAATCTGGGGGAGTTCTTTACGGATAAACATTGATTATTGCGTATCGAGCGTGTATCCAAGTTATTTGTTTATTCGTTTTATTGTAAAAAGATTATTTCCTAGAATTGTTAAGGATAGGGAAATTTTATCTTTCATTTTCGTTACCAATTTCTTAAATCATTTACAGTTCGGATTTGATTTATTGGGCACTTTGTTTATTTTTATTAAAGGTTGATGTAATTATCTAGACATTTTAATCGTGAAAACTGGTTGTTTTTTTTTTAAATTGTGTATTTTGGGTAAGATACTTCCGCGTAAAATTTGCCCACGTGATTGAAAAGAGCGCCCTGTAGCGAAGTTGAGAGGTTTGTCGCGTTGCCACACTCAAAGGTAATTGGATGAAAAATTTCGATTTGTTTGAGGGAAGACACGATAAATACTGCAGTTGCAAAGGGGCCTTTTGCTAATTTCGAGGCCCAGTTTTTGTCCTTTGAAGGTTTGCAAGATGTACGTCGCTGTGTTAAAGTTTGTTGGCAAAGTTATGCCTTTCATCGTGTAAATAATTTTGTTGTTCGTCAAATAGAACTCAGTACGCTGCAATCAAGAGTTCAGCCAAGTTCGAGTTATAAAGCAGAGAAAATATAAAGCAAGGATCTAAGGAATCAGAACACAGATGGACTTCAGGAAATAGGTAAATGGAGAAGAGAGAACTACAAGTACTTCGGTCTCTCGCTAGTCCCGGCCATTTTACAAGTTTGGGGGACTGAAGGGCTTTGGTTCATATGGAACTATTTACCATGGGGTACACCTTGTAGTGTTGGTAGGGCTCAGTAGTTACCTACATTTTTCTGTGGCGAAGCTAAATGTCCCAGGCTAGATTCCATGGCATCAACTCATAAAGTCTGATCCGTGCTACCCGATTCCAGAAAATCTGGTTCAAAGGATGCCGTATCATTCAAATGTTTCATGGAGTAGAGAAATTCGAAAAATTGCTGACGTGTTTGTTCATATATTTAAAATATCTTTTCATCTTTATCTACACGTGGCGTGGGTCCAATTTTTGCTACTTAGCAGCAATTGGAATGAACATTTTGCTCTCCACTACAGTTTGAACTTAATTTGACTTTCAGAAAATGTTTCTTTAAATATAAAAGATTATATTTTTCTCCATTTGTATTTTGAAGGGGTATAGAGGCAGGTGCAAAGTAAGGGTAGGAGAGAAGGAGTCAGATGACACACCGAAATGGTTTATAAAATTTAATGTTGGGGAATTGTAGTAGGAAGAAAAAAGCGGTTTCTGGTGTACGCTGACGATACATTAATAATGGCAACAAAAGAAAACGGACGAAGCAAATGAAAAATAAAAATAAATACTTGGAATGGAGATAAATGTTGAAAGATCCTAAGATAAGGTTAGGCAAAGCAGGGGTGAGCGAAAATAAAATAGGTAGAATGGAAGGAGAGTTAAGAAAGGATATAAGAGATGAGGAAATTTAAATACTGGGATACCATGCACAAAGAAGTAATGAATCAAACGAAGGAAAAAAGGAGCTAAAGCCGCTTAAGGTAATACAGAAAAAGTACTATATGTATTGGGTATAAGAAAAAAATACAATAATGGAGAATATAAGAATCCAGACAGGACGCACGGCGGTAAGATGGAGGGTAGAGGGAGAGTAAGGTGAATTGATAAACTATTGTAAACAATATTAAATACTCGTATTATAGGATGGGGGTAAAAATACTACGAGAGACATTATGGACAGAAAGAGGCGGCAATATGGAAAAAGATCTAACCAGAAAGGACAGCGACATACATTTGCAACTACAAATAAAGAAGATCTGGAATCCACGGTGGGAACAGGATTTATTAAGGAGCTTTATAACGGGCCGAAATATCTACGGGCAGGAAGAACAAATGATAGAGAGGTTCAGATGTGGAAATGAAAGAAAAGGCATTGAAAGATGGAGAGAAGAAGAACAAAAGGAAATGTCGATGGTTTCAAAAGTTTCCTTTTTTTTTGGAAATCGATTGTATATTTTGTCGTATATGGGCAGAGACTTGTTACTACAGTCTCTGTATATGGGCTGTTTTACTGAAATCTGGCAACACTACATAGCGATGAACAAAAGACACGTGAACGTTACATTAGCTACAAGCGTGTTAACCAAACCTTCTTCCAAATTTTAGGTTAAGGTTATACAAATCAAAATCTTAAATAAAAATGGCATTATTAAGACAAACTCTACAACCACTCGTGAATTACGCGTTTCATACACAAACGGCTAAGATAATATTTAGAAAACCAGGTACGAAATCAAATGACAGATAGAGATTACAGCAAAATGTTTACAGGAGTTCGACAGTTGTATGCAGCCGCAACTCTGGGCTTAGACAATTTCTTGTCCCAGCGAGACAGAGTAAAGGCCCAATTAGCAAATGTGGCACCAAAATTTAAAGAAAAAATGACTGAGTACACTGCAGACGATTCAAAAAATATGGTATTTACGGAAGACTTGAAGAACATGTTACATTTAGCTGAAACAAACGATGATGTAACTCTTGTAATTAAAATGATGAAAAGGCATGTAACTTATCAAGTTGCATATATTTAACATCATGTTTGTAGGTTTAATCAGCAAAATAAACAGTTACGTTTCGGTAACTACGTCTTTGGACCTGTAATCATGAGGCTCTTCTACTTTCTGAACAAGCACGAGGAAGCTTTTCAAGTGAGTGGTTTTTACTTTGTACAGTTACTTCATCTTATCCATTTTAGTGTTTCAAATCAACGGAATTAAATGGTTTGTTTGACCAAATGATGAGTTATCAAATCCTGTTAGATTTGCTCTACGAAAACCAGCGTTACAACGATATTTTGGAGGCATTTGAAATTATTAAAAGTAGACAAATTGAGGGTGTCAAGTTTGCCAGAAATGTGGTTGTGTTGATGTTCGCAGCTTGTTATAAATTGGTAATAAACAACCTATTTTGTGTAATTATTCTTTAGGGAATTATTACAGAATACTCAACAAAGTTTGGAAATTGCTTTGAAGTTATGGTCTGAAATAAACAGCATTGGACATTTTCCAATGAGAAGAGCAGTAACATTTTGTTCAGGTCTCGCGATTAATCAAGGCAAACCCGAGATCGGTTTGGAAATTCTTTCGGGCGCTAAAAATGCGAATTATACTACAATTCGAAATTTAAAGGTATGTCCTTTTGTTGTTTTTGTAACACATTTGTTCGTTGGCAGGTAGTGGCCTTAGTTGACTTAGGGCGAATTGATGATGCTTTGGCAGTTTTGAAGAGTATTTTGCAAGAAGATGGTGCTAGAATGGGTCCCATACATACCTTCAACATGGATGTTATAGGAAAACTAAAAAATGCAGTCAAGGAGCGAAATAATGCCGATCTTAGTTTAGAATTTGATCGTCTTGAGAAGTACTTTAAGGATCATGGCCACATTAGCAACACTGTGGGTTGTTTTATGTTATTAGATTGTGTTTGACTGTTTTATAATTTCAGTTACTAAATGATCAATTATGTACAGAAATTGCCCCACCACAATCAGTCAGAAATAATGCCAATGAATTTTCACGCCAGCAATATAGAACACCATATGATGATAGTAGAAGAAATCCGAATTATAGAAGACGTACAAATGGGGGACCTGCACGACCGGGATTATCAGAAATGCATTAATTTATTTCTTATTTATGATGATCAAATATAGTTGTTTATAAAAATTATGTTTTTTTTTTAAATATTGTGAACATTATAGCTTGGTAGGAAGTGTAACATTCAGGAAAGTTTGATGATTTACAGTGCATGGCCATGTGTTGCCGTTTCTATTGAATTCATAAAACCTGGTTTATGTTCTAATTTAGTTCTCTATCATACAATGCAATGTAAACAAATTTTCTGTGGACAGTCTTTTATTTCAATGCTATAGACTGTAATTACTTTGACTACAGACAGTACAGGGAACATAAGGCAATGCAATCTTTATACCTATATAGGAGTTTTTAACGCGACAATGCGATTTATACAGTGATATTCATGTAGAAGTAGACAGGAATTTTCTATGTTTACTTTTGCATGATAAAAAGTCTACTGATAGACACCTAATTTTATGCAACCAAAGTAACTACCGACAACAAATGAGGATTTGCCTGTCATATTAATTTATTAATTTGAATATTATCGCTTTGACTTCCCTATTCTAACTTCGGTTCTTATGCAATGTATTCAACTAAAGAAAAAGTTGATATTTCCAATTGGTATAGTGCCGATAACAGTTAAAGGAACTTAAGAGAATTATTTTCTGTGAAGCTAAAGCAACAATATTCAAATTAATAATTAATATGATAGCAAAGAGTTACTCTTTGATCATAGCCAGATCTTTGTTTCAAGAAGTTATTTTGGTTGCATAAAATTAGGCGTCTGCCAGGAGACTTTTTATCGTGTAAAAGTAGACATAGGAAATCTCTATGTCTACTTCTAGTTTCTACTTGAATATCAGTTATCACTGTATATACTATATAAATAGGCCGACTTGTTTCTAATTAATCATAATCACATCTAGCTGTTGACCATAAGAGCCTGTACTGTAAAATCAATGTGAGACAACGGACTATAGTCTACGTAGATCAACAAATGTACACATATTAAAAATAAATGATAAACCATCTCTGTTATGATATTTAAACAAACTAATGTAATTAAGTCCATTTCCAAGTAGACTATGTTACATTTTTTATATAAAAACCAACAGAAATATTAGGGTTACCTACCAGTTGCTAATGAACTGTAAAGAAAAATAGGCCACACATCAAACTAAAAACACACTTTCTTAACAATCACATTGTTGAGTATGAACATATCCCTTCATTCAGAGATCAAATACTTTGAAGATTTATCTAAAATCATACTTTTTCCGTGGCGTTGGCCATGGTTATTTCTTTAAACCGATTAAATTTAATAAACTTAAGTTACAATGCAGTAATGAAGAACCGAAAGCGGAAAGCTGTTACGTCCACAGAGAATGTGCATTTTTAGCGCATTTCCACAAAAATAAAAAAAAAAATGCGCTATTGTGGCCACTTTGTCCGTCCGTCCGTCCGCTAACTTTGCGACGCTACTAGTTCTTTATCTTAAGAGCTATTGTTCTACTTTTTTCGCTATTTGGTTCGTTATGGTGTCGAGTCTTGTACCAAGGAAGGAATTTTTTCTGTACCGCTTACAAAAAAAGTTATTGTAAAAAAAACAAAAAACCGTTTTTTACATGTTCCATAATTTTACACTTTTGCCGTTTATTAACGATCCTAGAGATCGTTTATAATTTTGCATTGCTATCTGTCGCCTGCCGGTTGGTCTCTCCGTCTGTTCCTTTGTCTGTCTGTCCATCTATCTGTCCGTGTGAACGATAACTTTGTTTAGAAATGTTCGATCGCTTTTACATCTCCGTTAATTATGAACTGAATTGCATGAAATTCAATATGGGCATAGCTTTAGCCATATAATACGCAATGCCAAAAGTTGAATCGAATAGATTCAAAATGCACAGTGCCCTTTTCGCATCTCGACCATTTATAAACCGAATTGCAAACTTTTTTACTTATAAAAGTATTTGAATGAAATTTGATACATAGGCACTTGGAATAAAGGAAAATCAAACGCCAATTTCAAAATTTGGTTTTGCGCATGCGCAGTGCCAACTTTTTTATTTATGGAAGAATTTAAACGAAATTTGATACATAGGCACTTGGGATAAAGGAAAATCAAACGCCAATTTCAAAATTTGGTTTTGCGCATGCGCAGTGCCAACTTTTTTATTTATGGAAGAATTTAAACGAAATTTGATACATAGGCACTTGGGATAAAGGAAAATCAAACGCCAATTTCAAAATTTGGTTTTGCGCATGCGCAGTGCCAACTTTTTTATTTATGGAAGAATTTAAACGAAATTTGATACATAGGCACTTGGGATACAGGAAAATCAAACGCCAGTTTCAAAATTTGGCTTTGCGCATGCGCAGTGCCAACTTTTTTATTTATGGAAGAATTTAAATGAAATGTGATACATAGGCACTTGGAATAAAGGAAAATCTAGCGCCAGTTTCAAAATTTTATTTTGCGCATGCGCAGTGCCAACTTTTTTATCTATGGAACTATTTAAGTGAAATTTGATACTTAGGCGCTTGGAACAAAGGAAAATCTAACATTAGTTTTAAAATTTAGGTTTGCGCATGCGCAGTTCCAACTTTCTTATTTAGAAAAGCATTGAAATGAAATTCTTCTCATAAACTGAAATTGAAGTAGCACGTCAAAAATGGATTGCCCATGTGCAACGCTATCTTTCATATTTGTGGCCGGATTTTTACGATTTTAACAGAAGTTGCATCTTACAAATGGGAAATGAATGCAAGTGGAAATGTGCTTTATGTAAATCGTTTACGATTACTTTTTAACTTGTTGTTTTTGTGCTTTACTGTCTGAGAAAGAGGCGTTAACGAAATAAGTGTGGAAAAGTCGAGAAGGTGACGTAAAGAAGGGACGTGTAGGTAAACAAAAGGCGAATGAGGTCTATAGGAATCTTGGAATAGGAAAAGTGAAAGATTGAAAAGTAATTGGAAAAAACGTAAGTTGAATGTAAGGATTATATGTTGAAGAAGGAGTTCGAACAGTCAGTGAGGGAAGCGTGAACTAGGGGTACCTATAGATGAACGTATACTAATAGGTAAGGTAGAAATTATAACAAAATAAGAGAGGTTATCAGTAATCAGGGATCTGTAAACTGCGAACGAGAGTGCAATTGCAATGGGCGTGGAGGTAGTCTGAAGGAGAAGAACAGGGCGCGAAAGCTGTTTGAAGAACAGGGCGCGAAAGCTGTTTGAAGAAGGCGAGAAGCAGGCGGCGTTAGCAGGAAGCCAAAAACAGAATGAAGAAAGTTCTAAAGGGCGAAGGGAAGCGGGATGATGAGGCGAACGAGAAGCAAAACAATAGGTAGGTATATTATTACAACAGGGGAGGTAACACGAACAACTTGACTGTGGGTAGGAAGCTTATAGGTATAGATCATTAAACAGAGATAGAGATAGACTTTATTTATGTAATAATACAAGTCGGTTGCATATGTATAAAGTAGTACCTACTTATCTACTTGTTTCACTTGAGGTTGACTTCCTCTACAGAGTAGAATACCCCAGATGTTAGGATTCCATACATTTCCGCTTTTTCTAAGAATTTGGTATAAGATATTAGATCGAAAGTCTTTATTTGATAAGTCGCACATTTGCGTAATGCATTTCCTGCGTTTATTTAGTGCCACTCTTCAGGGAAGTAGGTACTATAAGATGAACAGGCAAATCGTATTAGTAGGTATACTATTATAGTTTTTTTAATGGCGATCGATTTCAGGCTTTAAAGAAACTATAATACGATTTGCCCGTTCTTATTAGTAGATACGTCCCGGAAAATTACCTCACCGGTAAAATGGAAAACTTCAATTTTTATAAGGGGTTTCCCTATGCCTAAACTCCGTAATTTTTAGGTTATTCAATATTTTTCACAAAGATAGTTACACATTAATCAATTACATGTTTATAAACGGGTGTATATAGACCATGATAACAATAAACAAAAGAAAGCCACAAAGTAAGCGTCATCAAATAAATAATTTGCTGCAGATTCCATATTTAGTAGTAAAATAAGATTAATTAAAAAGGCGAATTTCGAAAAAGATGAACTAGTCTTTTTAACTAAGTAATCTTATTTTACTAGGAAATAAGTACCCTTGCTCATAAATGTATGGCACTTGATTACAGTCAGGCATTCTTTGGCTTTTCGTGCACTTTAACTTTCAACAAATAAAAAGTGCACTTTATTGCGCTCTTCATGTCTGTCTATCTGTCTGTCAGTGTCTGTTTGTGTCACAAAGGCTCTGGAACTACACCACTTACTACCTTGGTATTGTGGTGTCATTCGATCAGAAATTAAAAATCATTTCATGTTTGTAGGTAGGTATTCTCGTTAAGGCATGAAATGTCCATAAGGGCTATTAAAATTGAAAAAAACAAATTTGAAAGTGCACTTTTCGCCTCTTGCTCACAAGCGGCTTAACGAATTTTTTATTATCACGGCCTACTCCTGTTTATAAACACGTAAATAATGAATGTGTACCTATTTTTGTGAAAAACATTGAATAAGCTCAACACTACGGGGTTTAGGCACAGGACTCCTTATAAAAATTGATACGCAGAAAACAAGTATCGAATAGAGAAATCAAATAGTGGTAGATACATTTGAAAAAAAATGGTTTCCTTTTATTCAGGACATTATAGATCAAATGTACCTAACTTTAAAATCAAGGTCGCTTATGGGCAATTATTCGGAAAAAAATGAATAATTTGGTAATATTGACAAAAAACCAAAAAGTGAATACGTTTCCATGCAGAGATTAAAAAATGTCATCGAAAAAACTAAAAATACACAGTGTGTTCCATTAAAAAAAATTAGTTGTCTGTAGACACCGTAAAAATGGGACACCCTGTACATTTAAAAATTATTTCTGTAGATGCGCAACCATATATGGTTGACATTTGATCAAAAGGATGTTTGATATTTTTACCAGATATGAGCTAGGAAAGACCGACACACTGTTGCAGGATCCTGTAGATCATTTAAACATAAAGTTGTCAAATAAATTAAAATATCTGGTGTAATACAAAATTTAAACCGCAATCGAGAATTGCTATGCGCGTAGGAAAGTTTGAATTAGGGCAGCTGCAAGGATTAATCATTTAAATTTTAAACATAAAAATTAATGAGAGAAATTAAAATGTTTGGTGTTCTACAAAAGTGACCAACCCCCAACCAAATTTACAAATGTTAATTCTTTAAAAAATGTTAGCTTTCATAAAATGTATCTGGTAATGTAAGTAAATAGGAAAGTCTCTCTCAATTCTTTGTTACTTAAATACTTAAAAGATAATAATCTATCCAAGTTATTTTATAAGATCCTACGTTTATGGTCTTAACTACGCGGTAAATATGTAGGTACTTATACCTATAGTGACTGTATTAGGATATGTCATCTGTCTCATCCCGCAAAACTTTAAATAAATTTGCAAATAAGCAATTCTGTGCGGTTAACTTCTGTATTAAAATAAATGGCTAATTATCACAATATTTCACAAAAAAGTACCTTCAGCCTAACTTAGAACTCAAAAAAAAGGTGAACTTGTGCCTCAAAAATCATAGACATTTTTAACGAAAAAAGTTTAACAATTATTTAAAAATTAACATCTCAGTTACGCGTTTCATTAACAAAGTACACAGAGTCGTCCCCTTGGTTGACAAATTCCTCATTCCCGCAAATCCCGCGGGATCCCGCTCCATTTATGTACGGGATTAATCCCGTAAAAATGCTGCGGGATCCCGCGATCCCGGTATTGCATTCCCTAGTCAGATCCAATGACCCAGTAGGATCATACCGAGGTGCTCTGCCGCTTGTTTAAATCCGCTTTAGGGGATTATTGTGTACTGATTTTTGAGTTTTCAGGTAAAATGGGTAAGAAGTCCAAATATAAGTGAATTAGTGAAGGGTGTCAGGATTGGTTAATAAAGCGATCTAGTCGGGAATGCGTTTATGGGCAGTAAAATTTGAGATTATTATGTAAACAAAATATGAATAATCGGTCGGGGTTCCTGTGATGATACGTAACCTCCCCTTACAGTCTCTCTTGAAATATGACGACATAAAAGATATAAAAGATCTATTCATAAATTATTCATACCTAAACACTAAGGATGTCCACAAAGGACGAAACAATGTTAATGGTGAATTGGCACAGTACCACATGAGGGGTTTCGGACCAAATAAACGATATCTAAACGATACCTAGGTTTAGCCCCACCCGCCAACTTGTGAAAATCGACAATTTACAACCCTTATTTTTGTATTGAGCAAAGTTTCAATTTTATACATTTCGTAGATGTGCTTCTAGGTAATTCCCAAATTTTGGAAATTTGGATGGTATTGTCAGTAGGTGCTGTTTAAGTTTCCTAAAATGTGATATACCTACAATTCGTAATGCATTGATGTGTTATAAATATTACGTTTTCAAAGAATTTCACTGATGTACTGTAGTTCGTTTTATTTAGTTTTGCAGATTGTTTCGCCACTAAAAGAAGATGGAATTCTATTGGCATTCTGATGATTATTAATAAATTCGTAAGATAAGTTTATGTTCGTATTGAGGATATTTTCAAATCTTGTGAAATTGCGACCATGAAGCAAAATATAATTAGGCCCCCAATATGACTACCTACCCTTGAAAATAAAATTTGTCACAAAATATAAAGTCGTTCCAAAGATTGACAGTAAAAATAAATGGAAAGAAGTAGGTAGTTCTGTTTGCACAATGATTTTGAAATAAATCTGAAACGATTCCAATTCCCAATAGTAAATATAGCCTTATACTCAATACGTCAATACCTTGTGACACCTTCAAATTAAATATTTTCGTCTTTTTTCCAAATGTCATTTTTCTTATTCGCAAATCCCTCCAGTTCCTTATAAAGTAAAAGCTTAACCGTACAGGGAATGTTGCTTTCAGAGCTTTAAATTCGAGATCAGCAATATGGAAGTACTTCTACCGCATCGATTAAATCGAAAGAAACTGTGCGTGTGGCAAGAGATAATCGAGTACCTATAACCCTAAATTTCCCTCATAACTTTATCCTTAATCTATGTACGAAATAGTTCGATCGATTTCATTTATCCTCTACGACCTACAAATGCGGCTGTGTTAACACCCACTCTTGACGAATTTACGATTTTTCCAGTTCGCAGGATGTTAATTAAGGAATGGAAATGTGGGTGACATTAATCATTTTTTCCAATTTTTGCGATACCAGATAAAGGGCGATTAAACGCGACTGCGCCGCAATTACAAAATGTAACGTTCCGCGCTGAATCTTGGAGATTTGAAGACGTGAGCTGTGATTCAACTCAAAGCACATAAGCAGGCAAGTATTCCTAAGGGAACATCCAGTAAACTTAACAGAAAACGAGGTTTTGCCAAAATGTAAATTTCTCTCTGTTGTTGCTTGTAGGTCATATTGCTCTAGTGTGCTTTTTAAGGATGGGGCGACGCGTTTTGAGACTCACACTATTTGAATTCGTAATCTGCAACTGAAATAAATAGTAAACATCATACATATTTACCGCCTAGATATTCTGCGTTTCTTTGCCGATTCGGAATTGTGCGAATTCATCTTATATCCTGACAAACAAGGTATTTACATTGAATTATTGCTGGTACTTTATTGCCATGTTCTAAACCGCTTTAGAAGTAATAAGCTACACATTAAAAGTATAGATGTGAAGGAGGGCATGCAGAAGAGAAGGATGGAATTGAACGTATAAGTAGAATCTTAGGTAGATGAGAGAGTAGAAGAGAAGAGAAGAGAGAGAGAGAGAGAGAGAGAAAGTAGGTAATCGGTGGAGATAATTTAAAAAAAGGGAAATAAAAAAGTATCCAACGTCACGGAGACCAAGACCCAGAAAAAATGGAAAACTACAAAAAAAAAGGCTGGCAGACTGAGGAGAGGAAGAATGTATGAATAGAGGAACGGCCGTAACAAGGAGGGGAGTTTAGCCCCACCTAGAATGTACTCATGCCTACTTTGAAACGGTGAAAGGCAAAACTTTTATGTACATTTAAATGAAGGTTTTTGGATTCTACAAACGATATCAAACAAGGAAACAAAAATGTTTGAAGTATTACAAAAGTGACACCACGCGCAATACGCGAGTCGTTATCTAAAGGTGAGCGGTCGATTTAGACAGAGAATTTTACAAAACTTGCCAGTATAGGAGATTTTATACGCGTTCCGCTTCATAATGAAAGAGACCGGAACTAAAATGTGAGAGAATGAAGCGCGTTAAGATAAGAAGCGAGTGTAGAACAAGATAAGGATGAAAACCCCACAGTGTTGCCGGCTCCAAAAACCGTCCTTCGGAGTATGAGAGACGCACTTTCTGCTATACCTTTACATGTATAAAAAACATAGCTGAAGCTTGATTTTTTTAGTGTTTAATTTGCGTTCCTTCCCTACCGTACTTCAGGTCATAGCGTTGTTCACAATTAACATACAGGGACTTTAGGTGGTTGATCACTTTTTCAATTTAAAATTGAATCGGAATCTGGTTAGCTTTTTGGAGAGAATAGCCATTCGGGAGGACATTTTTAAACGTCACCGGTTGATTTTATTTCCGTGTGATTGTAGTGTGACGTTATCGTAGTACTACGTAAGTACACTACACACTTACACAGATAAGAAAAACTACACAGTAAAGCACCTGTACCTTTTGCAATGTCTTATGAATTTCAATTTAATCGCACCAAGACGAACCACCGTTCCTTATAAAATATAAAATTAATTACCCAAATAGAAATCATGCTTTAATAATATGTCTTTAGACCAAAATTTGAAAATTAACTCGATGAATGCAGTAAAATTGTAATCAGTGCGTAAACTGGGTTTTTAATGGATTAATCTCTAATAAGTTAAATATTAACATACGCGTATAACAGCCTTGTTGCAGCATATTGTCGTAGTAAGTTTTCCGTTTCCCATAAACGTTCTAACATGAAATATGAATGCATTCGTAATTATAGAGTTAGTCTTATATTTTAGAATACGTAAGTAGCGGAATGGATTGGATCAATTATTGAGCGTTGATCCCATTGTGCATAATGAATATCCGTTCGCGTACATTTTCTAGTTCATAATTAATGCGGTTATTTCCGGTGTTAAATACAACAACGACTGGACAGGAAGCTGTATTTCCCTTGCGCATTAAATATTTTAGAACGCTTCCCTTATCGATAAAATTATCCCTATGAAATTGAATTTACCTACTACTCATCTGTATACTTTGTACGCGATGCCCAAGCTTCGGGGTAGACGAAACGCTATTGTTGAAGCAATATCGAAAACGTACGTCGAATTTGCTAGTAACACTAGCATTCATGGTTTTAAATATACGGTCGGGAAAGACACCAATTATTTTGAGAGGTAGGAGTACTTCTTTTTGACTGACATTACTTTGAAACTTAGGGCTGTATGGGTTTGCATTATTGGTTTGGGCGTTATAGGATCCGCCTTAATGTTCGGTTTGTTTTGGGTGAGGTACATCAGCACTCCAACCAGATCAATTGTGTTAACAAATTACTTACCCAACATAGAAGTTGATTTCCCAACGATAACTATCTGTCCATTCTCTAATACTATGGCATCCAAATTCAGATCGTAAGTACACAAAATAACCGAAATCCTTTAACAAATCATATTACAGAGTATTGACAGACTCCGAGAGGGAGTATGCGAAAAGAATGTTTCCCTACATTCAAATGGAGAGCAGGGAAAATAATTTCACAGAAGTACACTATGATCCAGTGACTATTTTACGCAAAATGAGTCAAAATTGCACAGAGTTTTTGCAAAAATGCCGTTGGGAAGGTGTCGAGGTAAATTGCGATGACCTTTTCAGTGAAATCATCATACCATCCGGACTGTGCTATTCCTTAAATAATTTCAACAAGACGTAATTGTAAAATTGTTACAAATTTACATTAACTAACTTATTTTTCGACAGATACCGTCGTACGTCGAATTTTAGTTACAAAATGGGCCTTTCGGTTTTAATAAACCCAGATTTAAAGGACCACATGACAAATAAAATTACAAAAGGGATAACGGTGAGTGATTTGGGGGGTAGGTAAGAAGACTGGGGATATATAGTATAGAATTATAGATACATGCAACACAACATCTTTTTCTTTTCGATAACTGTCTACTTTTTGGAACGTATAAGGACCTATCGCGAAAACCCTTAAAATACTGCATACCGTTTTCGAAATATAAGGGCAAAACTGAATCTCGACACAATGAAATTTTTAAATAATAAACTTTATCATTTTAATCAGATACTAAAAAAAACTAGGGAGCAACAAAGCAGTACTAAATAGTCTAGTTTCAGACTTTCATACACGACCCAACGTATTATTCCGATGGAGAAACTTATACACGCACCTTAACTCCCGGAACTGTAACATTCATGCAGTTATCTGCCCAGAAATTTATTTGCGACAGAGATTTGAAAGATCTACCCAAGCATCGAAGAGGTTCCTTTGCTTCAAGTGAGAAATCGTTGCAGTTTTTTCAAAATTATTCCGTTTCTAATTGTGCAACTGAGCTGTATTTAAATGCATACATGGAGAAATGTCAGTGTTATCCATATTATTTTGTTATTACAGGTGAGTATTAATACCAAGGGAGAGTAATTGTTCTATAACTTAAATATTCCTTTCTTCATTTTGCTTTCACACTTTGAAAACTTTTATTATTTCACGAACTAAACTTTCAAAACTGACTAATAATTTTCCCCATTCCATGCCAACTACTCAGAAACTTTTTGAAATGCACTCGATACCATTGTTGACAAACGCTGTACGTCTGACGGAGTACGTGAACAATGAATTAGATTAACAATCCCTTTAATGTATTACTCTGTATTGCGGCTTTTTGACGTTCTGTGTGGATTAACACCGGCAGATAATAGGTAGAAGCAAATCGTTTAAATTTCCAAACGCTGCATATGCAATTAGAAGATGTCAATTTACGTTAAATGTAGTAATCAGAGTTTCATATTCTAATTTAGATTACAATTGCCTTTAAGTGTCGAATCTCTATTTGCTACAAAATATACAGGTAAACTCTATTTTGTAATTGACTTTAATAGCATTTGCGATGAAATAATTAAGATTTTAATAGTGTAGTATAAATTTAGGAAACCCATTCCATCCGAATACATAATAACTTTTTTTCACTACTAGCGTCTGATGACATGATTATTAACCTTTTTTCCACTTGTAAAGTAGGCTTTCTCGGCATTTGTTCAAAGTGGTTAATAATGTGAACATTATTAACTAGTAGTCAATAATGAGAACTGTGACGCTGTCACTTTTAGAAAACACAACCCAAAATTTCGCTCAGTAAACGTTTAGACAAGTTCTCTAAAATGAATAATTGCCACCATCCGCCATTTCCTGAGAAATTACATACCTAAAATTATCACATTTTGAAAAAATTCGAACGAAATTACTCTTTAAAAATATCTCAATTACAGAACAAAATACGGCCTGTTTGACTTGTACTTCCACGTACTTGATTGACATGTTAAATTAATAAACAAAAAATTCTGTCCCACCGTTCACTTTCTTATCAATATAATATGTTAATTTAGAGGACTTCAAGTGCTAGTAGTGAAAAAAATAGTATATATACCACGGTAGAGAAGTCTATTATTGCCTTCGCACCTTACACTCCTCGGCGCAAGCGCCTCGAGATGTAATCTTGGTGCTCAGGCAATAATACTGTACTTCTCTACCTTGATATATAATGTACTATTATTTTCATTTGCCTATTATATGTCAATTATATCTGTCATATGTGATATATGAAGCAGTCTATTACGCCCAAGGGCATAATGAGAGGGCATTGTCATCTCATTATGCCCTGAAACGGCCTGTCAAATTGATTGACGGGGTTATATTATGTAATAAAAAAGATGCAACTTGATTCGTATGAAGCACTTTAATGTTGGGCAAACAATAATCATGACATTTGTATATTGCAAATGCATTCTCTGGAACGATGAAAAATAAAATGTTGTATGCACCTCAGGCATTACTCAATATTTAACCCACGGGCGACTTACAATCCCTCGGGCTCTGTCGCCCTCGGCATAAATATCGCCTTAATGCCCTTGATGCATAAATAACTATTTTAAGGAACGCTGCTACTGTTATAATCGTTCTAACAATGAAAGGCATTGACAGTTACTATTATAATGACATAACTGACAACTTAGTGAAACTCAGTAAAACCTTTTGAACGCCCTCCGGCAACTACCTACCTTTAGCGAAAGATTAATAGTAATGTAACTGTGATCATAAAACATGTAATTAATAAAATGTAAGGTCATTTATTCTGTTTACATTAATCGAACATCAATACTAATTTAACCAACGTCCACACGGAGCTTTCATTTTAAAATTACAAACCATTGATTGTAATTTTTCATTTCGAAAAAAAAAATCAAAATTTTCAATTTTCATTCTCTTTACAGAAGTATGTACTTACAAAATCAAATTTGGATACAAAATAAATGTATTTCACGTTTTCATTTTTTTGTCATCTCTTAAAACTTTAACTTACAGTTATATTAAGTATGCTCAATCTAATTGTATCGAAATTTCGTTTACAAAAATCATTTTTTCTTGTTCCTTGTAACGATTTATTTTAATAGATTGCTCCATCTATTATTGGAATTTAACAACGCCATTTTCCGCGCATATTGCCAGCGCTTTGATTAGTGCGTGTCGATTTTCCTCTTCCTTTCTTTCGTAAGCCGTATCGAAATACACCTCGTTTAATTAAACAGCTGAAAACGTGAGTTAGAAACGCATGGCATTTTAATTGCCACCTTTCGTATATATTGATTTCTGATGATTCGGTTAATCATTTGGGGTTCCGAAGTAATTAGTGGACGAGATTTTCCCTATTACTCCTATATATAATTTGCGTTCGCTCTCAGAATTAGTCGAGCATTCAATGAAACGCATCCCCATAACAATATCGGACACAAATTGATGCATAAGCCCACGGTGTGTAATAAAAAAACGTTACATAGTCTAGAGTTTATGTTAATTTTATTAGCTTGGTAATAGATTTATGTTACACCTTTTAATTATGATTAGATTTGGAAGGATGGTAGATCGCTTGTCCATTTGTAAGATTCTTGCTTACAATAAACTTTATTATTATTATTATTTTGGATGATATGTGGCTCAATGGACGATGTCCGGCTAAATTGATTGGTAGATTTTTCAAAATCTAACTCTTTTTCTCTCAAATCTGTTTTTCATTTGGGACCTTCCTACTACAATCCCCCCGATTTCATTCGGTTTTAATATTTAATCCATACACAGGGTGGTTCAAATTCGTGGCTCGCCATAGGGATCTCCGCAATATGTCCCTTTTAGTAACGCATTAACGAATTTTTGAAAAATCACCGAAAAACTGAAACTGCCAACAACGCATTCGCGGGTAACTAGATTTTACGGAATCAACATGCCTTACATTACATATGGCTATGATGGCGATGCATTCAAATGAATTTCTTTGCTCTCTATCCCTATCGCATGTCAATATATGAGCGCGGTAGGTAACAATCCAAAATAGTTGGCTCAAAAATTTGTTACCTTTAATTCAAGACTGCAGATCTATGAAATACGCTATTAACTTATAATATTGTATATCAACTTATACTATTTTTCACATTTCAAACGCATTGGTGTTATAGCTAAACGCGAATTTCGAAATGACGTACGCACTTTTCTGTTTTACTAGTAGATGTCTATTTACCTCATATTTACTTCATTTGGAAGTTTGTTTATATTACTATATACTACTAATATGTATGTATACATGCTAAGGTGTCTGATCCGTTTCGTGCTGTATCAGGAGTACCCCAAGGAAGCAATTTGGGCCCGCTACTGTTTCTACTTTTCATTAATGACCTTCCTTTAAATATCAAATACTCACGCTGTTTAATGTTTGCAGATGATTTAAAGATATTTAAAGAAATTAAGAATGTTGATGATGTGCAACTACTTCAAACTGATGTTGACAGTGTCGTGGCCTGGAGTAATAGAAACAAACTTTACTTTAATATCAATAAATGCAAAAGCATAACGTATACTACAGCGAAGAAGGGGTATACCGAAGCAGATTACTCTATGCACCAACAAAAACTGCAAACTGTAAAAGTAATTAGGGATTTAGGAGTAGAATTTACAATTACCTTAAAATGAGACGAGCATATAAATAACGTTGTTAATTCAGCACTAAAAAATTTAGGGTTTCTAATACGTAATACCTCCGAATTTCAAAATATCGTTTCCATAAAAATTCTCTACAACTCCCTGGTACGATCTAAATTAGAGTACGGCAGTAGAGTTTGGAATTCCGGTCTACAAATCCATAAAAAAAATAGAGACAGTTCAAAATAAATTCTTAAAATATCTACATTTTAAGAGGTACTTACCCCCAATATGATCAATATCGGGAAGTTAGAGAGGAAAATCATATCATGCCGTTAAAATATAGGAGAGAAGTTGCTGATATTTGTTTCATGTACATACAAATTGATAAATAATAGAATTGACTGTCCTAATTTGCTATCACTTGTGAATCTGTATGTTCCAGCTCATAAAACCAGACCAAAAAGTATATTTTATGTGCCTACGTGTCGAACCGGTCACAACTTAAAATCGCCAATGATAAGGGTAGCCATAACCACCAATGCATATATTCACCAGACCAATTCTAATATATTTAATGTAAACTTAACATTATTTAAAAAAGGAGTTATTGCATATTATTATGATAAAATCACGAGCCAGGAAACTTGAACGAGTGTCCGTAATGTCTTGTTACATCTTTGATATTGCATATTCGTATTTGTTTTTTTTTTTTCAGTATTGTTGTTTTGTTACTTTTGTTTGTTTAAGTTGTTAAAGCCAAAACCGTTGACTGCTGACAATGTAAAAGGGCAAGTCCCGTTTTGTTAGTAAATAAAATAAATAAATAAATATTTAAATTGCAGGTGGACCATATTGCAATTTATCTCAGTCCAAATGTGCGTTAAACGACATGGAACGTAAGCCCTGATCTAAAATTTCATACATTTGTACTTTTAACTGTGTTATTGTAGGTGCACTTCTCGAAAATATTACTGCGGCCAACTGCATCATGAATTGCGATGGATTCACTTATTTGATTTTATTAACACAAACAAAGCTAGTCGTTTTTAATGAGTCGGTGTCATCATCCTTTTTGTAAGTATTAAGTATTTATACAGGATGGCAATTTGAAAACTTACCACCCCCCATGTCTTAGTAAATAAACGAGATATTAAAAAAAATCAAAATCCGTTTCGGTAATTCGGAGGGGGAATCACAATATGACATAGTTGGCGACGTACCCCCTCCAACCCCCTGCGCCCCAGCCACCCCAACTTTTAAATCTTAAATAGGGACCCCCCATGTGTGATACGTCGTTGGAAAGCTCTGAAAAAATGCTTTCCAACCATACCAAATACCATTTACATTTACGTTAGTAATTATCGTGCAAATCAAAAAATAAACTAATATGATACATTTTCTAAAGTTGGCTTTTATTTCAATAAATGTAAAATATAAAATTATTGGTAGCTAGCATAGTTTTCAGCATGGTTGTTCGACCGAATCTAGTGCACATGAGTATGTCCAATTTTTGAATGAATGGCGTTTCAATATTGATCCGATTTATTAACATGAATAGACTCCCTGACCCCCCCTGGTCCCGGCACCCATTTATGAAATCATATTTGCCATACAAAAATATTTTTTAGGTCAAATGTTACGGTTAGTGAAGACAGCATACACCTGCACGTTTTCTTCCACGACCGGATTCAAAGCGCAATCTCAACAAAGCCAGTTACATCACTAATTTACTTATTATGTAAGTAACAAAAATAATAAAACTTTTAAATCAGCACAATTAAAGATCGCAAATTAATAAAGAGCCTACTATGATGATGACATGCCAACGTTGTCTGAAAATCGATTTACACATAGAAATGCTATAGAATTTGACTCATTCAGGGACAGTCAGCGACTGAAGCTGACATTGCTCACACAAAATATCAAGATATAATTTGAAAATGTTCTACCATTGAATTTATAACGATCGGAAGTGTGGGTTATATGGTAAGAATTGTTTTCAATAGTTTTAGTTGTGAGACATAGATGGCTCTACCATAAAGAAAAATTAATAATAGACAATTTTTGCCTTCCTTAGTTATTATACAGGAATCTGTAATGAACCGTAGACAAATTCATTGTCTCGATTTGTATTTTTTTGCATACAAAATTCTTTGGTTGCTAGCTTGATTGTTATTAAGATGGCACAACCCATCATAAAAAATATACTCCACTAAATCTTTGTGTCTGAGTGTGCTCAGCGATTTAAAAATTAAGTAAAGCTAACATAATTATTGTTTCAGCTTCATTAGGAGGAACATTCAGTTTATTTCTGGGTTGCAGTTTCATTAGCGTTTTTGAAATAATCTACTACTCATGCATCAAGTTTTATTTAAACCTAAAGTCGGAAAGCAAGGTTGGCGACCGCACTATTATGAAGGTGAATGAATTAAAATGTAAACGAAAAGTGACACCCCTCCACCGCGGTGATGTCAACGTGAAGGTCTATACCATGTATAAAGGTCGCTATCTGGAATGACTGATGGTTACGAGTTTGGGATGGTCCTTCTTTCAAAGTTCATCACAGGTGGCTTGTTCTGAAAAGTCACACCGCTTGAGTTTATTCTATTGATGTACAAGAAATAAATTTTGAATTGTACGTTCTTAAGAGATGAATCTAATGGCATTTGAAGTAGTTTTGTATTGTATATTAAGTTCAGATTAATTCAGAAAATTGTGCGTATTTTCCAGAAAGTTACAGTAAGAAAATTCATACGTTATACCACAACTCCATTATTGAAAAATGTGCACTATCGGCAGGACAGAGATACAACGAACACTGCGCGCATATCGGGGTCAGAAAGAAGGGGGTAATCTAATTGCCAAAATAAGACAATAAAACTTTTCGTTTCGTATTTTATCCACTCTACATATAAACTTGCAGTTAGTACAAAGCTCTGTTTGTATGACAAACACAATATTCGTGGAGCTAATATTTGTTTCATTTCGCTAAGTTTAGGTGCATGAACTTTATAATTTGATACTGGGAACATACCTCACTGCAATTGTCGCTTTATACCAACTTCTAATTGCATCTCATTAAAGCAAAACCGTAAATTCTACAACTAAATTTCCCGTTTTAAACTGCATTCCTAATTTTCTTGTGGATTATGATACAAATTAAACCACTTCAGTAGCGATGAAAATACGATGTAGCCCCCTAACGAAACATTGAGCTTTCCAAAGCTCACCACAGTTTCATATACCTGCAGCAACAATCTGCAAGTACTCGCGGATGGGTACCAATAAATAGTTTATTTGTAAAGTTTTGGTGTGCTGTTTCCTTCCGCAAAGCATGAAAGCACGTTTGCTGATGGTAGATTCCCTCTTATAATGGCTTTACGTCTAAGAAATACTCGTACAAAATCATTTTAGACGGTTTTATGTCGGTTGTTATGCATTAGTGAAGTAATTTACACCAACTTCAAGTCTAACTGAAACTATCATTTGGGGTGAGCGTGTAGATATTGCAACCGTTGAGAATATCTAGCTAATTATTATCTAAGTCACAAGTTGGGTTATTACGTTGGTAAATTGTGTGTTTCAGCTCGAATTAGGACGTTAAATCGTCGTCAATGATGTTAATGCAGTTCTCGCACAGTTGTGTAGTAGATATACATACCCGTATTAATGCAGTTACAAGAACTTATTGATCGTATGAAATGATATGGAATAAATTCAAACAGCTATAAAGCCGTAAGGGCCTGAGTGACAAATCTTGTTGATGAACGCGCGTAAATTCCTAATTTTATATATAAAAAATAAATAAAAGTGTATTAAAAGGAACTTCCTGAGACCCTTTTCAAGATCACCGGAAGTGGCACATAGAAATCTCAACAAAAGTATGAAAATCGTGTTAGGAATTTGTCTATAACCCTTTAGGTAAACCTTAGAAGGGCATTTTCGCAATCCCTTTAAAAATTTTAAAAAGTGTAGTTCAAAAATAAAATTGCTTATAAGTGAAAATTTTTAAATACATATTTCATAATTCATGGATAAAAATTACTTTTTAAATAAGTAAAGGAATAGGGAAGACGGGCTACCTTCCAAAGGATTACATCTATTTGCTCTTTTAGGATTGACTTTATAAATTGCAATTGCTTGCAAATGAAAGCTCGTAATTCATGTACAAAAATTAATTTGAAATAAGTAAAGGAAAAGTTCACAAGTGGACCTGTCCAACCCAACGACTATAAAAATTTGCTCTTTTAAGAGGGGCGGTCAAAAATTGCAATTACTTGTACATTTCCAATAATAATTTAATTTGAAAAAATTGAGTTGCCTCCAAGTAGAATCGGCCATCCCGTAATAAATCTTAGATTCCTAGTAATTTAAACGAGCTCTACAATTTTAGATAGAATATTCTTGCTCCCTTTTTCGTGCTGGTGATTGGTGAATGTAAAAAATATCCATAAGTACCTAAGTGTAAGCTAGAAAAGAAGCATTAACTTTGACTTAATAATTAATCGATTAAAATAATTCCATCGCGAATTCTTCATCAAAAGAACATTAATTAAAACACTTTTTTGCGTTCTGCTTTAATTAATTAAATTATAATTGCATTGTCTCTTCTGATTAATATCATAGAATGGATTTCAGCAATCAAAAGCACAATGGCTTATTCGAGTCGATTACGATGTCATTAAAATTATACGCAGAAATAGACTTGCTTCGGGCCTTTAATACACTTCTTAATAAATTTATTTTAAAAATGCGAATAACTTTTTGTTTAACAAGCGAGGCAAAAAATAAATTGACTGCGGAATCAAATCCGTTTGTCTTCTGGAAAACTGGGCACGAGAAAGAAGCTTTAAATATTAAAAGTATAATTCATGCAAATCACTTTCATCATTAACTGTTACAATTAATCTACATAATTTCATTCAGGCAATTACGCAGTCTAGTGTTTTTTGTACTAATCTTAAATTAGAAGAATTATATATAATGTCATTTTTCTGAATTTGGGTTTGAGTGTAATTACACTTGCAGAAAGTTAACGTACGTTTAAAACAAAGCGACAACGTGTACTAGGGTGAGTAAGATTTCAATTACCCATTTCCAAATGCCGCTTCCAGCAAATTTTCCGTAGCGGTAAGTTGTAGATACCTCTCAGTGCCTATTTGCAATAGTAAATTAATTGAAAGTCGCACAACTGTATTTGCTTTTGAATGTCGTAAAGGTAGATCAAGACAAGGTACAGGCGTGTACTTGTAGAGCATCCAATGTACTACAAAGAAGCTAATCATAGACGAAAGACTTGTGGTGAAGTTCGATAATTATAGTCTAGCTATATACACTAAATATGCCTGTTTACAATTCCCTAAATGGATCGATATACAATCGTACGTATTGTGGAACTGTTTGATATTCCTGTTCAGCCTCGGGAACATTTCTGGATGTTCTAAAGCGAACAGCCGAAGATTCAATTATAAAAGTTACCAAAGGTACAAATATTACAGAAGATACTTCCATCATAAATCACCGACATTACTTATCTAATTCTAATTTAGTCGCTGATTACCCAATTAATTACTCACCGAGTACAAAATTCATCTGTACGTAATTTGAGCAAAATTGCTTCATCAATCACAGCCTGAAACTTTGTTGAACACGATTCGTTGCTGACAAGCAATAATAGAACCAATTACGCAGTCAATTTAGCCAAAAACAATATTTTTTTCTCTGTTCCTTGTATTTAGAGTAAACATACATTTTTCACAGGCACTTGTTATCGGAATGGCGGATTTACCTATAAAATAATTCTTTCCGTTTATACTTGTGCACTAAACTTGAGTGCAATTAGATGGAAAACCCCTCAATATTAGTAATTGTAGGTGGGGTAAACTAGATCATCTGTAGGAAGGGATACCTGTTATATCAGATAACAGGTCTTTAGTCAATTATGTAAACTCTTTGTCAAAGATTACGCGGTTACTAGTTGAAATATTGAGATAAATCATAAATCATCTGTAGATTTGCAAGAACTTTATATATTTGCTATTATCTGTAGACACTTTCTTAAAAAAGATTTTTTAATGTGAACAGGCTTGCATTAACACGGTACAGGCCCCGCCAAATAGTCTCTACTTGCCTTATAAAGGCAAATAAGGGTACTATTCGGTAAGGTTAATAGCCTTTACCTAAAATAAAAACAATTCCTTACACCTTGTGTAATAAATATAAACCGTATCTGCACCTGAGAAGATTGTTTTTTGAATACAATAACTGTATTTAAAATTAAGGAAAATTCAACAAATTTTTTAGTGTTTTAGTATTAGTGATCTAGAGTTATATCTGCACATTATCTTGTACCTATCATTATAAAACATGTTTACCATGTTTATTATACTCTTAAATCGCTTGTAATATTTTTGCGATCGTTAGTTTTGAAGTGGTAAAATTTCCGAATTTCAAAGTGGCATAAATATTTTATTTCAAGGGGAACTACTACTATTTTATCTCTTTATTTGTAAGTCTTTTGTGTTCTCTGCAATTTTTGGTACATCCTGTGTCTAAACCTCGTAGTTTTTAGGTTATTTGATATTTTTCACAAATGTACCTACCTATTAATTATTACATGTTATACAGTGGAGTAGGCCGTGATAATAAAAAACAAAAGAATGTCCGAAAGTAAACAAGCGTCACAAATTAATTATTTATTGCGAGTGTGCTCCCTAATTGTAAAGTTCATCTTTTTTAGAAATTCATCTTTTAATTTTAATCTTATTTTACTGCGAAATAGGTAGTACATACATTTGTAGCAAATAACTAATTTGCTTTCGGACATTCTTTTATTTTTTTATTATCACGGCCCACTCCGGTGCATAAACCTATAATTAATTAATGGGTAGGTACTTTTGAGAATAATATTAAATAACCTAAACCTACGAGGTTTAGATACAGGGCATTCCTTATAGAGTTGGAAAGAACACAGAACACTATCGAATATCGAAATAAAATAGTGGTCACTCCACTTGAACAAAAATAACACTTTGAAATTCGGAAATTTTACCATTTTATTGTGAACAACATTCTGATTATCAAAACAAGGTAGCTACGATTTATTAAAGTGCGACTTTCTTGTGCTATATTCGGAAAAAACTAATAGGATGGCAACACTGATCAAAAAGTGAATGGATTCAATTTAAGAAATGACATCGAGACAACTAAAAATACACAGGCTATTCTATTAAAAAAAAATCAGTTACATATTTATTTACATATCGTAATAATGGGGCACCCTGTATATGCAAAATAATAATAATAATAATAATAATAATAATGTTTATTTTACTGCAACAACGTTGCCGCACAAGATGTACAACAATAGTAGGCAGTAATTGTCATGCATAAAAACAATAATACACACCAAAGTACATAATAAACATGATGTGTATTGGGTTGACCTATATAACTCAATGCTCAAAATATTCTTTTATGTTGTAAAAATTTTGGTTTAGTAAGTATGTTTTGAGTTCTTTTTTGAACTTGCGAATGTTGTTTGGAGTTTGTATGTAATTTGGGAGGACATTGAAAATCTTACAGCTTAAATAGTTTAAGTTATTTTGAAAAAGTGCTGTTCTATGCCGGCCAGGATTTAGTACTAACTTGTTACGTGTATTATAGGCATGTGTTAATTTAATAAACTGTTTTTTATTTTTGAAGGCGTATAAACATGTTTCCAGGATGTAAAGGTCAATGACTGTCAAGATTTTTAATTTTTTGAAGTAAGTTTTACACGACGTTGTTAATGTAAGTTGACACATTATTCTTACTGCACGTTTTTGTAATTTAAGGATTCGTTCCACATGCGCACTGGCACCCCAGATACCAATGTTGTAGCTTATGATAGCGTGAAAGTTTGCGTGGTATAAAGTTAAAAGCGTATTTTGATTGCACAAACGTTTAAAAAAGTGTAACGCGTAACAGCATTTCCGAAGCTGACCATGATAGATCTCTTGTTATTGTTACTCCTAGCATATTTGTAGAGGTGGAGCATGGAATACCGAGGGCATTTTCGATTTTGCAGGTATTGCTCTTACTTCTAAAGTGTATTACTGAAGTTTTCTCAGTATTTATAATTAAGTTGTTATTTTTACACCATTGATTTAATTTGTCAAATATTAATTGAGCTTTCAATAGAAGATCGTTAGTAGTGTTTGATTTTATTAGAATATTGGTGTCGTCAGCATAACAGGTTATAAACACACTATTGTCAGTTGAATGTAACAAGTAAGGTGCTAAGTCATTAGCGAAAATGATAAACAACGTGGGCCCAAGAATAGATCCTTGAGGGATTCCAGTTGACATGAACGATCGGCTACTGCAGTGACCCTGTGGTAATTTAACAAACTGGGATCTATTCGATAGATAAGACTCAAATAGTCTTAGTGGTGTGCCGCGTATGCCGTAACGGTTCATTTTGTTCAACAGAAACTCATGACTAACAGTGTCGAAAGCAGATGAAAAGTCAACAAATAATCCGAGTGTTAATATGCGCTTATCCAAAGAGCTGACGATTTCGGATACGAACTCATTTAAAGCTGTACAAGTGGATTTGGATTTTATAAATCCATGCTGAGATTTGTTCAAAATATTGTATTTTAGTAAGTAAACCATAAGTTGCTTATTGATAACATTTTCTAATACTTTTGAAAAACATGACAGGATGCTGATAGGCCTATAGTTTGTAACATCACGAGGGTCACCTTTTTTGAAAAGCGGATTAACAATAGCAGTTTTCAAGGAGTCAGGATAGATTCCAGTTTGCAGGGTTAAGTTAATGATATGGCAAAGTGGTTTGGCAATAAAATTCTTCGCTAATTTTAATATTTTCGAGCTAATTTGGTCAAATCCACATGAAGATGATGAGTTCAAGGAGTTTATAATAGATTCCACATCACTAGTGATTAAAAATAATGTCTATGGATGCGCAGCCATCTATAGTTGACCTTTGCACAAAAGTATTTTTGTATTTTTTACCAGGTATGAGCTAGGAAAGACTGACGCACTGTTACAGGACCCGTATAATTTGTAAGCGACTTGTCTCCAGAAATCGTGTTTCATCTCCAAATGACTTTACTTGAAGAAACATTTTGACGAAAATAATTTAACGTTTCGACCACATTTCTAGTCGATTTTCCCATAATTTTTCAAGGCCTTATCATAAGAGCTACCATAAGAGCGTCATTTGAGTACCTATCTTTACCAAAACCATATACTCAAAACAAATGTAGGTACATCCCCAAATGAACCCCACTAGAGAAAGCATTTCCACGGACATAGATTCATTTTCAAAATGCCGTAACGAAAACGTTTCTAAAACAGCATATTCAGTAAATTTTCACAAAACTTTCAAGGTCTTCTCATTAGACTAGCACCGTTAAGCTAATAACGTTTCTAGAGTGTCATTTGGGGGTGTCCATATATTTTGTGCAATTTAATAAGAAGGGGATTTTCTATAGTACTTCTAATGAAGTTATGTTTAACTTTTAAGGCACTTCTCTTTAGAAAGCGCACCTGTGCTACTATTCTATTCTATTCCGAAATGACATCACTCGGAAAGGTATTCCCGAGATGCCTTAACGAAAAGTTTCGACCACAGCAGTTCTAGTCAATTTTCAAATAAATGTACATACCGTGAAACAACCACCCTTAGCCTAATAACATCCGTAACTATTTTGCGCAATGCAATAATAAATATGAATGTAATCTCGAATCTAATACAGTAGTACTAATGAAAGTACGTCTAAAATTTTACAGAAGTTTAGAAATTGTTGGAGTCAAATAATTAATCGATCGACACAAGAAAATAATCTTTGCCTTTTTTCAACAAGAAACAAATGAAATCAAATGGTTAATCTCGGCCCAGGTGTGGGTGACTAATACCCGAGCTAATACCTTAATTCAAACATTTGTGCGAACGTATTGGTATTGCGTTACGTAATTATCGATTAGTGACAAAATATTTGCTTCGATTAACAACTTACCTAGCGCAAAAAAAAGGCAACGGCCCGGCTCCTGGATTTTGTACATAACGCCACTAGAAGTTATTCTTCGAAGTCGATATCCATCCTCTGTACCATAATTATGTACAGAAATAAGTCACGTAAGATATAAGGACGTTTTCTAGAAAGAAATCAAATCGTTAGTTAGGGGCCCAGATGGAGATGACTAAGCCCAAACACGTATGCGAAAATACACCCGGTTTTAACTTGACCGTATGATCGAGAATTGATTTTTTGGGCCTTTACGTTATGCCGTACAAAATTCAGTAAAGGGTAAAATAACCATGTTTTGCTTTATGATTCAAGGTAAAGGCAATTACATTTTTGTTTTGAATTCGTTGGATGATTCGTTCACTAAAGGAGGATGAATATTGTTGATGTAGTTGATGATTTTTTTATTAAAATTTAATTGCAGTGGGTCTACTTTCTGAGTGCCAATACGACTTAATAAAGTCCCAAATCAAAAACTCACCATTTATCGGTTTTTTCCCGAACCACCACGGAAGCAAGAATGGATCACTAACCGTTTTGAACGCACCACTCTAAATAAGCGCGTTTATTTAGGCATTGGAAATTGGAATACGTGTTACCTGTAAGCGATAATGTCGCAAAGGTCAGTCTCCCCGCTCGCCTTATCTTCTAACTCGAAAGTGAATGTTTTCAAATTTAATCGTATGAGTCAGTGGCGTGTAATATTTAAAGGATCGATTTTCAACTCTTCAATTTGTTATTCTATTTTATTGTGGGCTGTTGCGGTGCACTAAATATTTTTGTGCTTGTGAGGGTACCTACCTCTTTTTTCATTTCCTTTGAAGTAGCTGTATGGGCAACATGTTGATGGCATTGTTATCGTCCATGGCTCCTTCACTTCAGACCTGCTACACTATGTTCAAAACTATGGAAATTAAAAATGATCCCTGATGTCATTGTGTGCTAAAATGCTTGATGGGGTTGTTTAATGAAATTTGAGTTTCGGTACAAGAGGCGCTTTATTGTCATGGCACATTATACAAAATATCTCCGTTTGCCTGTTTTCGTCTGTCTGTGCATATGTGCAAATTAGTCATAATTACTTCGGAGTTCGGAAGAACAAAAATACTACTGTTGTTCATTTGAGGATTTAGAACTGCGTTAACCAGCAATAGATTTCGAAAAACTTAAATGAAACTGCGATTTAGCGCTTTTGAGTATTCCACTTCTTACATTCTCTGTCACCGGATTAGGTGGAATGGCACCGTTAATTGTTACATCCTCCATCAAAATGTGATCATTAATTAGTTGGAGTTAGTAGCCAACTTTACTTATTAATAGGACGAGCATTCTTGTTAGGGAGAAAATGTTTAACTAATTATATATAGCACAGTACAGAAACAATGACATTGTAAACGAATACGAATAATGATTGTAATAATTTATTTCAACGCATTCTAGTTTTTTGCAAATTATACAGCCGTTCAAATAGGTCCATATGTTCGCTAAACGATAAAAGCTACTTATCAGTTCTGCAAACGTTGCTGTAGAGAATTTTACATGCATGTAATATGCTATTCCCATATCAAACTTGTGCAAATATATTTAATCTTTTGTGAAAGGCATGTGCCACGGTATGACAACCTACTATTACATTAAGATATACAGTGCTTAGCAATCTGTATAATATGTAAATTTTGAAAACAGCGTTTACAACGGCGTATTCCAATCTTGCGGCAAATCCGCACGTAATTATCGTTGTGTAAAACCATTGTCAGTTCCATTTTTTTTATTTAAGTGCTTCCACATTTAACCCTGTTCATTTCGAAATAAAAATATCCGAAAACGGTTAAGAAAAACAAGGGTTTCATTTATTTTTGGAGTCGGATCGCGTTTCTTAAAGGGATTTCAGAACTGACGACTTATTCAAGTTGAATTCATCGTTACACACTTCACCTCGTTTCAGAGAAACCGTTTGTCTCTTCACGCACCACACGTTTAATTGATTTTTCATTTTCCTCGTACCTTTCCAAACGTTTGAGTGTGTATCGCAAATATTGGGCGTTTATTTAGTTTAGGTATGTGATCAATCGATGTCCCAATTATAGTAATGTAAAAATAGGCAATGAAATGGAACGAGACTATCTATTTGGTAGTCATTTCCCAGGTGTGCCTTTTAAAAGGTAAATTGTCTCTAGAGAACACGTAATGCCCTCTCCGACGGAAAGTATGCAAAAAATACGGTTAGATTAATATTATGGCCGAAGAAACTTCGCTAACGATTAACAGTATTTTCCCTTTCAGAGCTGCTTTCTAATTATTTTTTCACTTCATTATATAAGATGCTAACATTTTGATTGTCTAATATAAGAGAGGGAGAAATAAAGTAAAAAATACATCAAACTTTAGTTAGACCATTAAAAAAGTTTTGTGACCCAAGAAATATAGCAGAATCGTTTGCAGTAGCCCTAGGTGGAAAATAAGTTATAACCAATGGTGACAGTTTCGAAATCTTAGGAGATGAAATATTACGTGACTTACTTGCATTTCCAAGATTGAATGAGAATTGTTTAATGTAATCTGAATTTGAGAGTCTTATAAATCTCGAACTTTAGAATAAATAAACAGGTGAGAGGACGCAATGCAAATTACTTCGCAAATAGTCGCAGTGAACGTAAATATATCGGAAGGACATTATTTTAGTTTGTTTATTTGCTTCTCCTGAAAACAATTATATTTTTCTGTACTTATTTGTAAAACGTTTATCTTGCACTTCAAATAAGTATGGTTGTTTAGTGTATAGTTCGCCCTTTTATATACGACGTAATGCACCCAATTAAAGATTTGATTTCCTTCTCATCTAAAATATTATGGAATATGAATCGCATTGTTTTAGATCGAACATGGGCGGAGTAAATGGCAGATCAGTAAAATCCTCGCGATTACCTCAAAACATTAAATGCACCGAGAGGCTGAGGTAGACTAAACAAATAAAAAAGTGGTAAATGGGATTTCAACACTAAATTGGCACTTGAGAGATGTCCAACACTGAGGAATTTCAAATTAAATTTCAATTTGTTAATGTGAAATGTAATGCATATCTGAGCCGTGCACTTTAGAGGATTGCCAGCACGAATCTTCGAACCAATGATGCCTAAAGCCTAAAACTGAATGATTATAATACGTGGAGATGTCCATAATGCGCATAAAGCGCTGTTGTCTAGTGCATTTCCATTTTACATCAAACGTTACTCTATGTATATTTTCAATGGGGGTGGTAATGATTTGCTAGCGACATTGTTGGATAGGTAATTGCCACATTGTGTGAATTCAGTGATTTTCCAGAGGCAATCCTTTCTATAAAATGGAAACGTGGAGTTACTTACTATCTTTGAAAAAAGTTGCCTGAAAGTTTTGCACACTTTACGCAGTTCCCACCTTCTTCCAATATATTTCCAAGGGATATACAGGGTGTTTAACGAAGAACTGTTTGATATTATATGGGAAACAAATGCGAGTACCTTTTTTTTTGTAGATACACATAAGGGATTTTCACACACTGATGATAGTGCCCTAGTTTTGATTCATTTTTTTAAATCTACGGTCGAATTAAATGTAGTATATGATTCTATATAGAACGGTTTGAAATTTCTCGAGATTTTTTTAAAGTATAGTCCTTCAGAAAACAAACTGCTTTTTGTAAGCAAAAAACAAAACCTACCCATCATTTTTAGGATTTATTTAACTGAAGACTTAGGACTGTATTCGGTCAGCAAACTACCCACATATACACCTGCAAAAAAAACTAAAACTTTTGCTAAATGGGCGATCTCAAAATGGCGAACGTAACCTGTGGAGGAGAGGGTTTCAAAGTTTAAACTTTCATTCAGTTTTACCTTTCTTCTTAATCGAATTTAATGAACATAATCTCTCCGCTGAACAAGCACCGACGAAACCCTTCTTACGCAATATTTACACGAACGAATAGAAACCCTTACCAATTGCATAGTATACATTGGCACCGGTATTATATATACTTACTTCCACATAATCTCGAAAGGTCTTCAAAAGTTCTTTCAGCCCGTTATGTTTGCATCGTACATTTGAGCAAAGGGGCTACGAAATACGAACTTACCGTACCTACCTTCAATATGAATTACAAGCTAAGTATACAACTTTCTAAAACTGAATAAGCATTTTAAACCCTCGGTTTGTTGTTAATGGTAGTACAGCGACCGGTAAGGTTTCTGTAAATGAGTATTTTTGAGGTATTATATTCAATTTAATTAAGAATCTGATCCTTAAATAAATTTATACAGCTCCACAACAATTAGGGCTTCCCTTTACTATCACCGTTTAAGAAACCAATAAAGGATTCGTTAAATACTTCATTAAGGAAGGTCTTAATAGAAGTTTACAAACAATTTACCACAAAACACCAGGCTTATTAAAAGATTAGATTTCTTGTGTTTGTACGTGGTCGAATATTTATTTTTGTACGCACTATATTCCCATTTATAGCTCAGGGAGAGTTGAGTGTCCTATTGATCTCTTGAAGTGATTGCTACTGGATTGACTTATATATTTACAGCATTTTTCAAAATAAAACCATGCGAAAAGTAGCTACTGGGGACAATGTGTGTGCTCGTGGTTTCCACAACATTTTTATTTAATTTAATGTTATTAGTCCGATATTTTTGTAAAGAATTCATTGTAGTAATGGTAGCTGTAGGTACTACAAAAAGCTTCCATCGTCCCACTTCCCCATGCTTTGACTATGAAGGTGACACCTTCTTCTCTATTAGGAAAATGTTGTAAGGCAAACTACATATTTCACAATTACTATGTTCGGCGGCTGGTTTCCTAATCAGAGGTTACACGGTTCTACAAATTAAAACTTTACTTTTATACCTTCTATTTCTCACTCCTAGAATAAATAAAATCTGGAAGCTACGTTTTCTTAGTCACGGAGCACCCAATTTTATTCGCTACCATGCGTTTATGTACCGGGTGCTCATCAAAGCGAGTTGCAATAAGAGATGAATTGATAGGATAAGGAACAATCAATGCCCAAGGAGGCCTTAGGCGTCGCGTCAATCGACATTAGCAAGGCGTTCGACATCGTACAGCATTCCGCCATTATGAAATTCATGAACAGCAACAGCTCATATGTAATTACGTCTTCTGTACATTTGCAAAACAGGAAAGACTTATAAACCACGTTTTATTCAATATTCTGATGGATGGCGCAATAAAGCTGACCCTGGTCTTGAGCGTTGGGTTAGGGACGGACGAAGTGAAAACTTCGGTCCTCACTTTGAAAACGATCTAATGATGATAGTGCCGAGGGTACTCTCCCTGCAAGAAATAATATGGTCCGCAACACCTCGCAACAGAACCGCTCGGCACTGACTGACTCGCCAACGCGATGTAGGAAATATAAAAGTGGTAAGGTAGAAATTCTATTTATAAACATCCTGTAGTATGTGTGATAAAATTCCTCCGTTAGATGTCACCGTCGTCGTCCCCATCCTTGGAATTTAAAACCCTTGTTATACACCAGAAACCAGAAACCCCGATTAGAAATCCAGAAGTCCCTTTAATTTATTATTTGTTTTGTTTTCATTTTACCGAAAACT